CCCCTCCCCACACGCACACATCATAGTCACAAGTGTGAAGACCGCCTATCCGATCCTGACACATGCTAGAGCAGACACGGGCGCGTGCCAACAACGAATGTGTTGGTATGAAAGAAGACCGCTGATTGGTCGCATTCAATCGGCTAAGTGAATAATGGTTCACGATGAAGGTGCAATGGGTGGTTTCCGGGAAGAGATAAAGTTCGTTGTGGGAGAAAAATGAGCGAAGCCACGTCTGCCGAGGGTGTTCGTCCTGGAAGCGACCTCGTTGAATCCGAGCTTGCTGATTTAAGAGCTCGTTAAACCCGGGTTATTTTTATTGATTTTATAGAAGAAAAAAAAACGGGGAATCCATCTCCTCTCGTTGAATCCGAGTTCTCGTTGAATCCGAGTTCTCGTTGAATCCGAGCTCCACTGTAGTAGTAGTAACCCCTAAAAACTACAACTAATGTTCTTTTCGCTTCTTCAAAAGAGACAATTTTAAATGAAATATAAAAACCACCACGAGCAGCACGGAAATCTTCGAGGAATTTTAGCTAAATTGGCTGTTTTTGATCGACTTGTGTGCGACACCACGAACATTCCTCTGTTAAAATTTCTGGTTCACGTCATATACAGACTAAGGTCTCGAACTGTGCTCACGTTCGTTGCTATATAAGCATCACATCAACATGCCACCAAGACAAAAGCTGAGAGATTTTGATCGTGCCACAGCTATAGCATGGCTGCAGGATGTAGTTGGAGCCCGAAAAGGCTTGCAGTGTCACACTCTGTCACTGACCGCTTGAGGAAGTCCCATCAAGCCACTGGATCAGTCCAAGAACACCAACGTGCAGGTCGACCCAAGAAGACCACTCAGAATGTTTGCAAGTGGCCCTTAGCGTATATTGAAGTGTGTAGGAAAATGGACACTATCAAGACAATGTAGGAAGCAGCTAGGTTCACCCTCCCCCCCCCCCCCCCCCAACCCCTCAAAGTCAAAGCCAATGTGCTGGGGGCTGTGTGCGATATATATACACAACCGGTAACCGAGCAGAAAGTCGGAGATACTCAACAAAATCAAAACGCTTGCCCAGGTATTGTACTCACATCTTTTACGTGTAACAGTAACCTTGATGAGCATAATAACTACTACTACTACTGCACCGTGGCACAAACTCATATTATTCTTTTTAATGTAGGTGTGTCTGTTTGTTTTTTACGCCATCCATCATTTAGGAGAGCGCGCTTCTGACTCTACATGTCAGGGCCAACCCGAGCTGAGAGATACATCCCAGCAGAAAGACTGAGACACTGGATAAAACTTTTCTCCCCTCTTGGGAATCGATCTCGGGTCTCCTGCGTGCGTCAACGTAGCACCTAACCACTATGCCACCACAAACGCCAGTCGGCTCAAACTACTACACGTACTTGCGTACTTCCACGAGCTTTGACATCAAACGTTCGAAGGGACTTAATACGAAAAAAGGAATATTAAGTGTAAACGGATGACTTCCCTTTGCTCCCTTTTCTTCAGCAGGCCCAGGAGCTTGTGTCTTTATTTTTTTTTCATTATTTTTTTTTTATGGTGAGAGTTTTATGGCACTTAAAAAATACTTAGGTCATATAAGTGCCAACGATTAGAGATGTTCCAAGAGAGTAATAAACACAAAAAAAGAAGGAGAAGAGATAATGATGACAGATGTTTGATAGGAAAGAACGACCAAACAAAACCAGAGCATCCGCCAACCACCCGCCTTGTCCTATCGGGAGCATTATTTCCAACTTTGTTCCAATAAGTATCATGAGGCGTCCCGCCAAGAGCAAGTGATTATAATTATCCTAAGACTATAAATGAAACACATGACTCTAACATTACATATATGTACAGTTGTTTCAAACTTGTACAATCTCCAAATGTCAGTGCCAAGAAACAGACCAAACTATGGCACACATCCTTCAATAGTGAAAAACACACATGGCCCTAAGACGTGAAACGGGGCCTACCACATCAACACTACAGGAAAAGATGTACGGGCCAAGAGAAGAACTAAGCAGGACGGTCTTGTATATGTGAGGTATCATGGCAAAATCAGGCGCTCGTCGAAACACAGAAATTCGGAGAAACAGGCATTTTTCTGAAAGTTTGGAAATTTTTATCAAATTTTTTTTTTTAATACTCAATCTCTTTAATGTCCATATAAAAATACGTTTCCACATATGTATTTGACTAAAAAAACATTGATTAAAGGCACAAAATAAGTAATTTTTCAGTTTTCAGACTCTCAACCTATAGAAGTTACCCAACTTTGGCGACCATTTTCTCGCTTATTTAACTACAGAAACAAGGTGAATCCCACCTCCTTCAATCGCAAACATTTTGACATGCATTCTAGTCAGAAGGGTATTGTTTCATAGAAAGCAAGGCAAATGAATAAGCTTTTAGATGGTAGCAATAACTCCACATGCCTAAAAATTGATGAGAGCCCGATTCCACCGTGTCGTGACACATATGATTGATGCCAGTCTTCAAGTGTAATAAGAGTGAGAAGAACAACAAATCAAGATGCACACTGAGACAGAGTTGACACTTTCCCCAGTCTTCAAGTGTAATAAGAGTGAGAAGAACAATAAATCAAGATGCACACTGAGACAGAGTTGACACTTTCCCCAGTCTTCAAGTGTAATAAGAGCGAGAAGAACAATAAATCAAGATGCACACTGAGACAGAGTTGACACTTTCCCCAGTCTTCAAGTGTAATAAGAGCGAGAAGAACAATAAATCAAGATGCACACTGAGACAGAGTTGACACTTTCACCAGTCTTCAAGTGTAATAAGAGTGAGAAGAACAATAAATCAAGATGCACACTGAGACAGCAAGGTTGACACTTTCCCCAGTCTTCAAGTGTAATAAGAGTGAGAAGAACAATAAATGAAGATGCACACTGAGACAGCAAGGTTGACACGTTCCCCAGTCTTCAAGTGTAATAAGAGTGAGAAGAACAATAAATCAAGATGCACACTGAGACAGCAAGGTTGACACGTTCCCCAGTCTTCAAGTGTAATAAGAGTGAGAAGAACAATAAATCAAGACGCACTGAGACAAGGTTGACACTTTCCCCATGTCTTCACAGAAACACTACTCAATCAAGAAAATCGATCAACGGGCTTGCCTTTTGACCACATCTACAAATTAGTCAAAAATCTGCTCTTTGAATATCCTTTACTCTATGGGATGTCTGACAGCATATACCCACTATGTAAGTGATCCCATGCTCCATTTTGACTGACCAAAATAAATTTCATCCAAGTGCTGAAAAAATATTCGGAGACAAAGTGTTAACATGGCTTTGGCATTAAGCTCGAAGTCTACTGGATTAACAGCAACAACACAAACACAAAAATCAAACTATTCTGAAACTTATGATCTTAAAAGTAAAAGTAAAGAGAAAAGCTAACAAAAACACTAGAGGATTTACTGAACAATGGTTTATTCATGAGGCCACATAGCAGGTACACAAACCTGGCAGGAAGTTCCATAACATATTGTTTGTAGCATGAAGTAAATTTGAGAGGCATCGTGGTGAAGTCAAGCACTCGTCAACATACTGAAATCTAAGAAACCGGCATTTTCTGCTGGTTTGGCAATTTTTATCGAATTATTGTTTTTTGGCTCAACATCTTTTATGTCCATTTAAAAACACATTTCTATCTGGATTATACCGAAAAACCTTGACTAAAGAGACAAAACTGTACATTTTCAGTTTTCAAGGGCTCTAAAGCTATGAAAGTTACCAAACTTTAGCGCCATTTTCTCATTAATTTTACCTCAGAACCCGGTGACCCCTACCTCCTTCAATAGCAAATATCACGACTTCTGTTCAAGATAAGACGATATTCTTATCATTCAAAGCAAAGCAAATGAGCAGGTTTTAAGATGATACCAATAACTCCATATGTCCTACAATTGACAAGCACCTGATTCCACCACGTCATGACACATTTATGATTTATTTTTGCTTCCATTCATTAATGCCAGAGAAACATAAGGACTTATGAACTTTTAACAGAATAATGAATACAAAAAATTCAATAGAAATGTTCAATTACTCATTTCATTCTGACAGCATTAATTTGAAAAACAACACATGGGGGAGAAAAAGGAAACACTGGGTTTCATAAACCTGAAACAGACTAGATTCTAGTCATACCAAGTTCTCTTTATTCATTGTCAACTTTCAGCTAACAAAGAATCTACCCACCCCCAACTTTAAACTAAATCATTATTTGTGCGAGGCTGGGAAACATATACATGCAGTGGAAAGAGACATGCAGGGAGTTTAGAAGAAGACAGTGTCATTTCCTTGACAGGTAAAAAAGATGATTCTTTTTTAAAGACAAAAAAAATACAACTTTACTAAAGCTCCACTGTTGTGGATCACATTCTTAATATACATTGCTTCAAAAAAAAAATGAAATCAAGTGTGATATGAGACCATATGTAATTCAATGTCATATCACCATTTTGAAAATGCATAAATTTAATAGCACTACCAACAAAACCATGTGGCAGTACAGTAAACAACCCAGAAAGTCACAGAACTTTAAACCTGCACATTACTAATACGGTAACTATCACTTCGGAGCACATGAAACGTTTACAGGACCCAACATACCTTCAACTTGAACAATTAATGTTGAACTCCATCCCACAACTCCTACAACATAAGTCAGTCTACCCAGTGGCAAAAAGACAATACTTGAGATCGTCAAGGCTCTTCTTTTTTTCTTTTTTTTTTATGTAGTTTTCTTTTTACATCTTACACCGCCATCGATACAATTTCCGTCATTTAGGGACTGTTTACAAATGACAGCAGCTCAGACGGGGGGGGGGGGGGGAGATGTATGAATAAAAAGTTGACAAAAAGTTGACAAGGGTGGGGGGGGGTCCTTACAAAGTTGAAGTCAACCATGATGCTCTAAAAGGTTGGGAAAAGAAGGAAAACACACCACATTTTCAGGGCCTAAAATTTACAGTTAATTATTTTGATTGGTTAAAGTTGCTGATACATAATTTGACAGTTCAGGTTCGTTATTTCTTTGTTGTATTTTTTAATAAACAATAGTTTTTTATTTTTTAAATTAAAAAAAAAAAGATCAAAGGTGTAAATATAATAAAAAGCATCCTGGACAGGTTCTATCTAAATGTACATGTACATTGTGGTTAACGTCAATGGGGGGGCTGCGAAAGATGACAAATGATGACAAGGGGAGGGGGGGCCATTTTTGGCCAAATCTTAGATGACGCCATTGGTGTACGGTCTCTTACGAGGCTGGCTTCAATCCTGCCTGTCAGGGCCAGGTCAGAAAGACAGAACATATTCAATCAAAATTCTCTCTTCAAGGGAATCAAACACGAGTTTTCTGCATGCGGCGGCAAAGTGCCTTACCACTACACAACAAACGTTGGTCTTCAGTACCCTTATCACTTGAACTGACAAAACCAACAAGAAAAATCTGACTCAGTTCCAATTCATCACATAACAGACATATTTGCAAGTTGTCTGCAAAGTAAACTTTGCACGAAGACGCACCAACCACAGATACTTTTTATAGATTATATTTCAGAATGGAGTAGAAAAACAACCATATCAGCTGGAGAACACAATTGGCAAGCTCTGCATCTGCACTGTCCTTCTATGGTTCTGTTCCATCCATAAATGGTGGCTTTTGGGTGGATTCATTTGTTGTTTTGTTGGGTGATTACTAAAAAGTGAAATTTTCAACTTTCAAACGATATTTCTATACTTGTTTCTTATGCATTTGAACTGATTCTTTGAAACTGATCCTTTCAAAAAATATCTGATCCTGCTCAAAAAATTAATTAACGTGCCACTTCTTTAAATTCGCATTGACAATATTTGGAGACATGTCTATTCTCTAGAGATCTATTTTCTTTCTACCCCTTCTCCAGGGCATTTCTTTCACAACAGATAAAAATAGCACCAGACCAGGAAACAAAAGTTTGTTATTAGTAAACAAGCTGAGCAATATACGCCTATGTTTTGAACAAAAGCATGTAATTATAAATGCATTCCAACAATAAAACATATTATGTACTGACTGAGTATCCTTTTAAAAAAAGATAAACTAGTTGTACAGCATTCTATGAAAAACAACATTGCAGACTTCAAAATTTAGGGCAATAAGCAATAGACCTACACTTACATGGCATTTCATAACAAATTACAGTTTCAAACATTGAAAAATCACAGATGATGAACAAAGCTATAACATTTAAATCCATGATGACATACCAGGAAAAAAGAAAGAAAAGGAAACATGCATCTGTGCAACATCTCTTAGTTACACATATGACCCCAAAACAAACAAAAAAGACCCATTTATGTGGCAAAACAATCCCTTTCATATCCAGCTTGACAAGACAAAAATAGCACAAAATATTGCACCACTTATAAATATTAAGAAAAGTTCTGATGTAATAGTGGCATCTTCAAAGCCACTACACATATGAAATAACAACTTCAGCATCATTCATTGATTCCGGCTTCTCTCTCACCATTACCCACATCCTTTGGCATCACTTCTTGTGATCTGTCTGTCCATGGTACATACACACTCCATTTTCAGTGACAATCACTTTTTGCCTGTAAGAAAGAAAATGAAGCTAAAATAGTAACTTTCTGATCGTTTGAAAGTCGTTTCATAAAATCAAAGATAGAATTTTAAAATGTATAAAAGAGTATTGAATATCAGAAGAATCACAACAAAGCTCTTCTGAATATATCCCTTGTCCTTCTATCTGCCAGTGCACTCCACTTTTTTTTTTTTACTCTTAGGGGATAAGATACAAGACAATACAATACATAAATAAATATCAAACAGTCAACAGATCATCATCTGCAATGTGAGTAGTGAAAAGTTTTTAAAAAACCGTTTTCACCCCAAGAGTTTTTCTTTAAATTTGTTTACCCCGCCCTCAGGAGATAAAAGGCAATGCACTATATTTATAAACTACAGTCACTTTATCAACATCAACATGGTGAGTAGCAAAAAACTGTTAATTAACAGTTTCCAAAGGCTCTCAAGCTCTGGAAATCACTAAACTTTGGCGGCCATTTTTTAATTAATTTTGCATCTGAATCCAGGCAACCCTTACCTCCTTCAATCCAAATATCTTGACTTCTATTTAAGATAGACGGGAACTTTTTTTTTATTCAAAGATAAACAAATGAACAAGCTTTGCGATGGTACCAATAACTCAACAAGGCAAAAAATTGCCGAGCGCCTGATTCCACAACGTCGTGACACAAATAGATGGGTGACAGGTAAAGATCAGACAATATAGCTCTTTTGAGAGCATCCGAGCAAAGATATAAAAGGCGAGCCATGATCGCCAGTGTCTGGCACTTGATGATGATCACTTCTTGAATAAATGAAAGGCGCAGAAGCAAAGACTAAAACATCAACACTCTGAAAGTCATCTCATAACAGAAAAAAAGCCTGAAAGACAGATATGGCAGAGGAAAAGAAGAGAAATAGAACCTACGAGTAGTGCCACCCTCAAATCACAAACACACTGTAGCAAACTTACTGAGTTTCAACCACTTGGGAACTTGTGTGCCTGACGGGAGGTTGGCAGGTCTAGAGCTCCGGGATGACGACCCAGAGGATGACGACCCAGAGGATGACGATGCAACCCCCGCCTGCCTCCCCACCCCAGATGGTCCTGGCTGTGAGGTGCCATTGGCTGGTGACCCCGTGCCTGACGGCTGGCCAGACTCACCACCATGAAGCCTGTGAGAGAGAACAGAATCATAACAGTTAGTTTGAAAGTTTTACAGCCCTTGCAATATAATTAAATAATATAATTAATAACAGTTTTACAACACTTGTGCCACAAATAGGCCATATAAATGTTGAAGACCAGAGGTGTTACTAATGGGTCACATGCAAAGAAAAGAAGGAGGAGAGATAATGACGATAGACATTTGATAGGAAACAAGGTTCAAACCACACCAGAGCAACAGCCAAGCAGAAACTAGAAAAAGAAAAAAATCAAACCACTGGTAGTCGAGTTAGTGTTAAAGTTTTAGTCTGACAAAACGCACACATTTCTCGTGTAAAAAAAAAAATCAAGCAAAGAAACACCAATAAGAAATAGAAGAAAAAGATCACACCAAAGCTCACCAGTATCTGTACACATACTGATATATGCAGATGCATGCACATATGCACACACACACACACACACACACACACAAACACATACAACACACCAACAAAAACCCACACACCCACACACACACACATATGCACATAAACACATACACACACATATGCACAAGTAGACAAGTATTTACACTAAATAAAAATGTTAACAATGACTCACGCATTGCTGACTGCCAGCTCTGCCTTCAGGCGGGAACTGAGATCGGATCTCACATCTTCTCGCAGATAGTGTTCTGGTCAAGAAAATAAGATAGAAAAAAATATTTTAAGGGTTTTGTTACAAAATGGGGTTCTCAAATTTTCTAACTTTCCCTTTATAGGCCTACCAGTAAATCGCAGAAAAGATCTTTAATTTTCACTGGGGCCTTTTTTTTTTTTTGAGGGGGGGGGTCTTTTTTCACATAATCTGTAAGTTTTAATTAGATCAATACAAAATAGTTTATGCTGGAGCCATTTTCACCTTACTTTTTGGGTTAATCTAGTATAAAATACTTTGATATAAGAGCAATGCTCTTAGTAAAAAAAAATACTGAGAACTAAAACGTAAATATATTACCTCATTAAAAAAAATTCATATAAAGGGCAGAAAATAGCAAACTGACCTAGAACTTTTAAAGACAATTTACAAAATGATTCTTCAAGCGCTTTGGTGGACATATCAAGTCATACCTCGCTGAGTGTTACAGCCAAAATACACCAGAGCTGCAGGTGCTAAATGGTTCTGTAAGAAAAGAATTGAAAAAAGTTGGACAAAAGGAACAAGCATTTTTCGCCATTTTTCAGAGTGACAGCAACATTGAACTTAAGACATTTGAAGTAGTAGTAAGCGATTATCCAGGGATATGTAACATTGAAGTTGAAGGCATAATGCAAGCCTGGATGTGTGTGTGTGTGAGTGTGTCTTAGTCCGTGCATATGAGTGTGTGTGTATTTGGGGGGGGGAGAGGGCAAAAGAGAGAGAGAGAGAGAGAGAGAGAGAGAGAGAGATAGAGATAGAGAAAGAGAGAGAGAGAGAGAGAGAGAGAGAGAGAGAGGGGGGTGGTGGGGGGGTGGTGGCGGGGAGAAATATGGGAAGAGGAAAAGAGCAGAAAGAGAAAGAAAGAGATGAGAGAGGGGGGAGGTGAGGGGGAGGAAGGAGGAGAGAGAGTCTGGCACTATGGGCCTAACAAGCCACCCCAAAAAATTATATCTGTTGTTTGAATTTAGAAAATTACAAATTACAATCGCAGACCATGATAACATTCACAAGTGCAAATCCCAAATTTTTGTTTTCTGACACTGTAAAACAAGGTAAATGCCAATTTTGCTTACCACTGCCAGTGATGTTGCCATACCAGAGAGAACAGTTTTTGGTGGAGACGTATCTGAAATGAATAAAACAAAAAAAGTATGCAATACAGCCTGTGCATCCTCACAGCCTGTGCATCCTCAAGCTGAAACACCCATAGAAAACACAAGATGCGTGTGTGTGAGTGAGTGTGTGTGTGTGTGTGTGTGTCTTTGAGAGAGAGAGAGAGAGAGAGAGAGAGAGAGAGAGAGAGAGAGAGAGAGAGTGTGTATAAGTGTATGCGTAATATCCGGGGCAGAAAATATTTAACTGACTTAGAATTTTTTTAAACAACAGCATAAATGATTCTTCAAGCACTTCAGTGGAGATGTCAAGTCATTAGTGTTCCAGCCAAAACACACCAGTGCTGCTGGTGCCAAATGGTTCTGAAATTTCTGATGTCTTTCGAGAAAATTATTCTGATTGACTTTCAAATTTAGGTCACATAAGTGCCAAAGATAAGAGGTGTCTCTGGAGAGTAACTTACAAAGACATTTTTATATACATTACAATGACACTGTGTAAAACGGCCACCTGTCTAAGACAGCCAATTTTCTCCACGACAATGCGTGATCATATTAGATGTTCTCGACTGGGTCTAAAAAACAAAAAAACTTACACAGATAAAACTTGTCCGTTTTGTCCTGTAGATACTCCTTGACAATGGCGTGTAGAGCTGAAACTGAAATCAAAACAACAGTAATATCAACCCAAAGCAACAATAACACAAGAGGATTTTTCTCCCACCTCAGTCCATTTCTTCTGTACAGTGGTTCAGCCGAAATTTAAAAAAGCAGGCTCAAGGTGAACAAATCAGCTCTGACTGCTTATCTTTCTGGTTACCTCCCAGGTTCATTCTGTTTTATAAAAATTGGTCGCTTTTAAGCACAAGGGATTCCAGAAGGGGGGGTGGGAGAATTTTTATCCAGCAATCAAGTCTTTCAGCTGGGCTGTAATATCCCTATAAGCCTAGGTTAGCCCTGACAGGCAAGGTCGATAGCCCGCCTCTCAAATGATATGTGAGGCAGCGTGGTGAAATCAGGCGCTCATTTAAATAAACAAAAGCGAAGAAACCGGAATTTTCCGGCAGGTTTGTGGATTTTTATAAAATTTCGTTTTTTGGCTCAACACCAGAGATACCAACCCATCGGGATAGATTTTAGGGAGATGAGCCAAAATTTCAAGGGAGAAATGAAAAAAAATTGGAGATTTCAAAATCGCGCAGTTTCACAAATATTATACTAACATTTTTTTTTTTAAAGGAGATTATAAATATGTATTAAATTCCAATAACCAATATTATCTAATGCTCTAGATCTATCCTTCAATATTTAAGCTGAATTATTAACACTACTTACCAATGGGTCATACAAAAATAAAAGTAGATTTTTATGGTCGTAATCACTCAGGTAATAAAAGTACAATGTCAGCCTACTAGCAAGTCTCTCATTTCTCAGCAACAATAAATAGGAGGGTCATGGTAACAAGGTTATAAAAATGAAATCTCTTTAGTTTTTTAGTTTTAGTAGAAGTTTTACGGCGCTCGCAACACAATAAGGTCATATAAGTGCCGAAGATTAGAGGTGTTACAAGAGAGTAACAAACATAAAAAAGAAGAAGGGGAGATAAGGACGATAGATGTTTGACAGGAAAGAAGAAGCAAACCACACCAGAGCACCCGCCAACCACCCACTCTGACAGGTCTTTTTAGGTTGACCTGCACGTGGGCGTTCTTGGACTGATCCAGTGGCATGATGGTGCTGCCTCAGGCGGACAATGACAGAGCGTGACACTGCAAGCCTTCTGGTAGCTTCTCGGGCTCCAACTCCATCATGTAGTCATGCCATAGCTTTGGCACGATCAAAGCCTCTCAGCTTTCGTCTTCGTGGCATGTTGATGCAATACTGGATTTTCCGCAATCGGCGGTTTATATTGCTACCAAAGTGAGCACAGTTCGAGCCCATACGTCCGTTTATGACGAGCACCATAAATTTTAACTGAGGAATGTCCGTGGTGTTGCACACAAGTCGATAAAAAACTGCAAATTTGACTAAAATTAATTCCAGGAGGATTTCCGTGCTGCATGTGATGGTTTTGCCTCTTTTGAAAGCATTGCAGAACGCATTGGTAACTCATTAACACTATCAGAGCAAAACATTTTGAAACATTCCTTGTGTCTTTTCTTTTTAAAAAAAATTAAATCAGGGCTCTCCTTCAAGGTGGTCCTTAACTTATGGTGAAGTCTGTATATACACATACTTGTTGAAGGTTCTATAAAACAAAAATATACACTATTTTCAAGACTCCATGACTTTCAATAGGAAAGTGCTCGTGAAAGCTGGTTGGAAGTTGCAGCCTTGCACCTTTCCCAACCTATTCTAACAATCGATATTGTATTGATGCATTTTGAAACTCCAGGTCTTAATAAATTGCCTGGGGACAAAAGGAAAACAACTCTGTTCACTGCTTTTACATATTAGAATTTTTTTGGTCACTTCCCTTGACAAAGTTATCTGAACTTTGGGTTAATTATCATCTCTCAGGGTTTGTAGTCAAAATAAAAATTAAAAAATATGGAAAATTGGGAGATTGGGGCGAAAGCCAGGAGATCGGGAGACAGACTCATTTTTCGGAAGTCTCCCGCCACAATCGGGAGGATTGGCATCCCTGCAGCACCTTTCATGCCTATTAAATAACACATTTCTGTGTGGATTTTACTTTTAAAAATGTAAATTTTCAGTTTTCACAGACTCTCAAGCTAAGGAAATAACTAATCTTTGGCAGCCATTTTCACACTAATTTTACCACTGAAACCAGGTGACCCCCACATCCTTCATACTCAAATATCTCAACATGTATTCAAGATAAACGGTTATTTTCAAAATTAAAAGCAAGACAAATTAACCATCTTTAGGTTGATACCAATAACTCTACTCGCCTAAAAACTGACGAGCGCCTGACTCCACCACGTCGTGAAACATATTCTAAATTGTGTAGATGGAGGTGTAAAACACCTAAATATTTTTACTTTAAAAAAAATTTTTGAAACTACTAGCTCTTCAAGCATGTGTGTTTCCTCAATGAAAAGCACAGCCTACCATTTTCCCTGGGTCTAAAGAAGGCTTGCAGCACCAGTCGGTCAGGGAACTGAATGCGGATGACCACACGGTCATAGTGGTCAAAGGCAGCCTCTGCTTGGGCATTTCGTAACGACTGGGTCATCAGTGGTTGCTCTTCCATCTGCTGACTGGGGAGACAAATATTGAGCAAATCATTGAGCTTTCATTTACAATAGCTCAATGTACATTTATCTTAGTTATTACATGCGTTTCTTTTTCAACAACCAGATCTGAAACAGACATCAGTAACCATGGTTCACCACTCAACAGCTCAGACACTCAGAAGTATTAAGCATGGGAAAAATCTCTTAAAAACAAACTTAAGACTTCCCAATCTTGTCAGACTTCGCACATACCTCCCAGAGATCTTGTACAACTATTCTGGTGACGATTGAACTGATATATGAGGTACGAGAAAATGCAATATATGTAATACTTTTGCCCAGGTCACTGGGAATAACTTCAATGAAAAGGCACAACAAAATTAAAAACTCAAAAAATTTCACTTTCTTTCTACACTATGAAAGTTCCGGGGACAAACCTACACCTATGTTACATTACACATGTGTTGCAAAGAAGCTACGAAAAACCATTCCATTTTTGGCAAACAATAAACAGTTAAAACCACTGAAATTCAGCATCTCTTCATCACTATGCTATCAGGTAAAAAAAGTAAGCTTGAGTATGTGGAACAAAATTCCACAAAACATTAAAAAGAACTGACAGAACTACCTCTCAACTATCCTTTTTCATGGTACTTTCGAAACAAAATGTAGCAAGCTTCACTGAACGGTACTTCCCCTGCCATACTTACACGGCGTTCTGCAAATCCCGATACATTTTCTTTACATCATCAGTGGTTACTTCAAAGAAATCGTCACTCAGTTCTGCGAGTAGAAATATCAGTTCAATAAAAATTATTTTAAAAGAGTAAAAATACACTTTTTCTTTCACTTGAAGTTGATCATTAAAACACTTAAAGCATAAAACGTAATTTCACATAGCATTTATATGTCTCAGAATTAACTTTTGACTCTTAGACCAGAAAAAAACTCCATTGATTCTTCTATAAATGAGAATTTACATTTCAATTTTGACTTCCAAAGAAAAATGCCAAATAACGGTCTTATCAGGATCACTAAGTAACAGTACTCAAACAAAATGAAGTACGTCAACAGAAAAAAACTATAACAATATCGCAGTACTGAAAAACAGAATTCAATCTCCTGAGATTTCAAATAAACCCCCGTTGGTTTTTTTTGGGTGCTTGATTTTCTGGGGGAGGTTATTGGGGGGGGGGGGGGGGAGAGGAGTTTATGCAACTATTCTGGTGACAATTGAACCAATTCCATGACACTTATCTTGTGTATGCTGCACCAATAAGGGAACGCAAGTAAGTAGTAAAGTGTATGGGTTTAATGCCCCTCTCAATAGTGGTAGAGTAAGCAGCTCCATATCAAAAACCATTTTTCCAACAGATCAAAAGAGAGAGCAAACATTTCAGTTTCAAGCATGCACTAGAAGATAGCAATCACCTCATGCAAGTACCATCCATGACTGAAGAATACAGGTTTTCCCACATTCACTTACCTTGTTGTTGTGACTGTGTCAAAGACTCCTCAGTGCTGTATATCATCACCTCTCTCTCACAAGGCTGTAATACAAAAACATATATATATCAGAGGCACCAACTCTGGCTGTGAAAATTAAATTCCAAACTATTAAGACGCCATGGTAAAGTGAACACCAGAATTAAAAATGTATGGATCATTTTGTCTCATATATCTTGTATCGAGACTATTTTTAAATGAAGTGCAATATGGCATGCACAAAGAGATTAAGATATCAAAAAATGTAAAAGCAGAAGTATATTTTTAAAATTCTGACTATTCCAGACAATTGTACTGTACCAGCAAAAAGTGAAAAATAAAAAAGGACAAGATAGAATGAGCTAAACCCAAATTCTGTTAAATAAAAATGTTTATTTTCTTTTTCTGTGCCCTGCCGCATAATCTGCTACTTTTAATCTAGCAAATTACCTTAATGACCAGGCACGTAAATTAACAAAAATTGTCATTCAGGTATAACTCATGCAGGAATTTAAACCTAGATCTTCCACAATGATGTTCAACGTTTTTGGTACGACTGCATACCCCTCTAATAATAACATATTATATCAATTACTTATTTATGGTAACAAAAAGTTTTCTTTCAACGCACCTCTGTTCTAAGTTCAAATGACAAGTGGCATATCCTTTTATGGCAACAAGAGAAACTGAGCACAAAGTCACAGGAATAACCTCCAACAAAGACCCTCACAATCACCTCCTTCTAAAAACAGCATAAAACCAACACAAAATACACAGAATTACTTACCGCACATAGTCGTGGATCAAAATTCCTGAGGGCAAATCAAAGACGGGGCAAAAATCAGAAACAATGTTATCAATGCTATCCATAATAATAATATAATATATAGCATTCAACTATTTGAGGAATTTATGAAGGGGCATAAAAAAGATACCATGACCAGTCCATTGACTCAGTTTCTACTCGGGAGGTGGTTGAGGGGGGTGGGCTGACAGGGGTTGAAGAACAAACTTTTAGTACTAGTGTTTGTATGATATCATAAAACATCACCTCCTTGTACATTACCAGGAACAAGTTAGTAGACAATACGAATACACAATATGGACAGCCGACACATTCTTTCATCATGAGGATAGTGAAGTGGGTCATGTCGGACACAAAAAACCAAAAAGACACTCTCTGACAGGTCTCTAATATTCAGTTCATGCTTGAAATACTGCAGCATCAAGCAAAAATAGGCTACCCACTGATTGTTACCTGAACCTTATGAACTAAAATGCAGTAATTACATTCAAATCAGAAACTAAACGAAAGTTATACGAAAAAAAAAATTTGATCAGCTGCAAGTCATATCCGTGTACAAAAGCCTGATCAAAATAGATCTGCGTAAAGGCCCTTAAAGGCTACATAGACATATTGTATGATGGAGGGAGATAAATACGTACGAGTTGTTGGCACTGGTCAAATCTTGGCCTCGGGTTGATTCAGGAAACTGGAAATAAAAAATGGATCAGTTGCACTCAGTCATTCAAAACTTATGCAGGATCATACAACTGAACAAAGAATCCTTTTTTTTGGTAAGCAACAACTGATCAAACAGCTGTTCCTAAATATGTAACTGTAAGAATATTCAAAATACATGTAATGTAAAAACACTTTATAACATGAAAAAGTAACAAAGTCTCTTTCAGAATATAAAAAAAAACAATCTCATTTATCTCCCTTCAGTTTTCATCTGTTCTTTCTCCAAGACCTATAACAGATAGCGGGAAAGGCATTGTTACAATCCTTTAGAGAGAATACAACATGAAGCTTACACAATACTTCTTTAGTAATTGTTTGTTTATTTGAGTACAGAGAAGCACACAGCGACGCAATAATAACAGTCATTTAATGTGCAGGTGCAGATATGTGGGTAGAGAGAAACACACCAACACAATTATGGTCATTTCGTGCAGGGAAAAAGAAAGAAAAAAAGTGTTTTTTTAAGTAATAGTTTTATGGCACTTGCAACACAACAAGGTCATATAAGTGCCGGAGATTAGAGGTGTTACAAGAGAGTAACAAACATAAAAAAGAAGAAGGAGAGATAAAGATAATAGTTGTTTAATAGGGAATAAGGAGCAAACCACACCAGAGCTCCCGCCAACCACTCACTGAAAAAGAAAGACAGATAGACAGAAACAACAGCGGGAGAGAAAAGACAAAGATCCTACTTGTAGCATGCTCCAACCACTGACATTTAGAGCAGGGAAAAAGTAAGACACACACACAGAAACAGCACATTGAAAGAAAAGATGACAGACAAATTTATAGAAAGAAGAAGAGAAGCAATGTGAACCTTGAAGTCAGCAAATGAAGGTGGTGCTTCAACGCTCCTAGGTCTTCGTGGAGGCGAGGGAGAGGCGTCCATTGAGGAAACCATCACATGCTGTAGCTGAGGCAACAGTCGCTGTGCTAGCCGTCTCGCCATCTGGCAGGTGAATCAAAACAGCATAGATTTATCAACTTTGTTTTGATAGAGGTTTTACAGCGCTCGCAACTGAATAAAGTCATATGAGCACCAGATTTATCAACATTTCCAACATTCCTTTTTTCCTAAACAGTTACTTTTATAGCATTTCAAAGGGCATTCTACTTTTTTTTTTACATACATTCTTGAAGCATTTTACACAAAATTTCATTCATTAAAATAAGCCTTGCTGTAATTTACTTGACTCTTTATATTATAACATACTTTTTGGGCAACGTCACTTTACTCTTAAACATATATTTTTGTGACATTTCATATGATCTGCTTTTCTTAAAAAAAAAAAAGAAGATATTGCATCTCATACAATCCAGCATTTTGTAACAAACATTTTTGTGGCATTTTACATGATCATCTATCCTTCAACCGTTCATTCTTTAGGCATTTGTTCATATTTCTATTCTTTGAAACATATTACTATGGCATTGTTTAAAAATCACTCTACTCTTTTTTAAATTTCTCATTTATTTGCAATTCTTACTGCTTGCTCCTGAGGACTGAGATCACTAAAGTCATCCGGCGTAAACACTTCCACTCCAGGAATGTTGAGATTACGAAGCTCATCTATAGCAGATGCTCCCCGAGAGGATGAGTTGGTGGGTCTGTCTCTCGACTGATTTTGTGAGTTCTCAGCAAGGGGTGACACAAAACTGGATGAGTCTGTAAAAATACATGATCACAAGATAGCAGGAAAAAAAACAGGAGAGAAGAAAAACTGTTCTTTCAAAAGACAAGCATCATTTTCTTTATCATAAAGATGACCTCATCAAATTTAGTTTTTTTCTGCTTCTACTAAGTTATTGTGCAACATTTTTTTTAAAGTATTTTTGTTAATGTATGCAACAAATTAACAAACACATCATAAACCTAGATATTCCAAAAATATTAGACAGCAAACTGAAACATCTTTTCTTTTAATTCTTAGTGCCAAGTAGAAAGACAGGACCTTCAAAAAAAAAGAATTCCTCTTTTTGAAAAGCAGAATATTCAACCTTAATTTCATTTTTCATTTTAAAAATTTTTTATTTGGTTCATCCCATAAATCCTCACATCAATTTTTCCTAGGGTACAAACAGAAGACAAATATACCTGAAGTAGACGATGTGACAGACTCAGGTCCTTCCTCCATCGGTTCCGAGATATCCTTCTTCCCCGAGGAACTCTCAGTAGAAATAGAGCTCTTAGAGGGGTCGGAGGTCACTGGCGTCTCAGAAACATCCATGTCACTAGTTACCACACTCTCTTCTGCCACACTCGCCAAGGGGGATCCCGTCGATTTCTCGTCCATATCTCTTCCCCGTAGTTCCGCTCCAGGATTTTGGGCCGCTGCGCCCTCTGTAGGTGTCCCCCTATCCTGAAGCTGCTCACTTTTCTTCAAGGCTATTTCTTCTAGTCTAGCTTGTTTCTGTTTGTCTTTCGCCACATCATCAACAATCTTGGACATAACCTCTCCGTCCACGGGACGATGTAACAGCCTGTGTGAACATCAGCATATTGTGTCAAACAATTAAAATACATGACTACACAAGAGAAAGCGCAACACTGATCAAACTGCTCAATCCCTTTTTCACACAATGATTTTCAGAAAAAATGGTCTAATTATAAACTTATTTCTAACTGAATTTTATAGTGCTAAATGCCTCTGACAAAGCAGTTCACTAATAAGCTATCCAAAAAGACAAAAGGCTTTCTTTGCTAATAAATTTCTCTCTTCCCTCTCACAGGCGAATTGAGCGGATGAGGTTTGTAAAACAGTCTGCATTGGTGCAATATTGTGTTTATGGTATTCTTTGTACATAAAATTGTGTTTAAATGTAGTGTATGTTTACCAATGCAACTTAAATTTCCCTCAGGGAGATCAATAAAGAGTAATTGTGAGGCAGGTTGGTGAAATCAGGTGCTCGCCTAAATAATGAAAGTGGAGAAACTGGCATTTTCCCACAGGTTTTGGAATTTTTATCAAATTTGGGGGGGGGGGGGGGCTCAACACCTTTCATGCCCATTAAAGAGCACATTTCTGTGTGGATTTTACTGAAAAATGGTTAAAGACATTAAAAAATGTAAGTTTCCACAGACTAAGGAAATAACGCAACTTTGGCGGCTATTTTCTCGCTAATTTTACCTCTGAAGCCAGCCCCCCCCCCCCCCCAACCACCTTCTTCATCCGCCAATATCTTGGCAAATACAAAAGATAAATGGATTCATTTCCTTGAAATTGAAAGCAAATGAACAGGCTTTAAGACGATACCAATAACTCCATATGCCCCAAAATTGACGAACGCCTGGTTCCACCGCGTCGAGACACAATTTATCTATTAATTCCAACAACACAAAATATAGACAAAACAGGTTTCAGTACTTGCCTAATTATTGCCTTCCCTGAAGTCAGGGCCAGTTTCCTCAAAGTGGTGGCTTTCAATGCAGGCTCACCTATTACCTGAAAAGAAACCAAATGGAAAAAAAAATATATTTTAAAACTGACAACTGGAACAAAACAGACATACAAATGGGAAAAAAAAATTTAACGCTGTTCAGAACTACAACTACTTAAACCTGAGAGTAAAGTGAATGTATAAATCATGTAACAGCTAACCATTAAAATAAAACAAAAACTCAGAAAAAAAAACGCTGTGCAAAAATTATAACTTCTTGAACTCTAGACAATGATAGTACTGCCACATTGTACATTGAATAAGTACAAACTTCTGTAATAAAAGTAACACTTTTACATAGTAGCTCACAAGGCTGTTGCTGCACTTGTTATTTTCAGAAATGTATATATAGAATCAAAATGCTGAATAAACAATTTTTCTATTTTGAGGGGGGGTTTTTGTGGGATTTTTTTTAGGGGGGCTGCTTCTTTTGTATACTATTACTTATCATCTTCTCCACAAAGGCTTCAAAATTTCAAAAGATAAAATTAATTTCCTCAACACAACCTCACTTTGGACTATATTTTTTTCCACTTATGTATTCTCCGTGGCAGATCCTAGCCCTCAAACTAAATTAAAAGAATAAGGCCTATGTCCCAGCAGGAATGTACCGTTCATCATATTCCAGGACAAGCCATTTATTTTGTTTTCAAAAGTATTGTAATATTGTATAAACTATCCTTCACTTTTTTATGGCTGACCAGCTTCAAATTCTGTTTTTAATAATGACTTTTTTTTTTCAAGCAGCCAGCCAGGGCAGAGCAGCTTTTTTCAACATTTATCTTAACAAGCTGCAACAATTACTTTTACAAGCACAACATATTGGCGCGCTCATATAACTTTATGCAGTTGCGAGCGCCATAAAACATTTACAAATAAAAACAAAAAAAACATATTGATGGCAACCCTAAACATTTATCCATAGTCTTTGGTCCCCTTCAAAAAAACTTCCATAGGATCAGTGGAGGAAGGAAACATTTTATAATTCAAGGCCTCAGCAGATGATGTCAGCAGGAGCCATGAATAAAACCATGTACTTTGTATTTTTTTTAAAAAGCAAGCCTACATTCATATAACAAAAATCATCATCATCCAGTGCCAGATCTGCCACAGACATCGGCGATCAAGGTTTTCCATTCATTCCTTTGCTCGGATGCTCTCAAAAAAGCTTCGTTTCCCTGATCTTTCCCTGTTACCCATTCGTTTAAGTTCCCTAAGTATGTTGTTCTGGGCCTACCCCTGCCTCGTTTGCCCTCAATTTTGCCAGTGAGAGCTAGATTTCAGGACCCTTATGTCTATTCAGGTGTCCCAAAGACTGCAGTTGTCGTTTCCTGATTGTTTTTAACATTGAGCGTCCCACGTGGGCTTCATCAAGCACTACTTCATTTGATTTCTTTTCCTTCCACGATACTCTTAGCAGTCTCCTAAGAAAACACATTTCTGTTGCTTCTATTTTATTTTCACTGTCTTTAGTGATTGTCCAGCATTCACAGCCATATAGAAGGGTTGACCAAACATAGCATTTCAGGACTTTCATTTTGGTGTTTATTGAGACATTTCTATTTTTCAGGATTGGGCTCATTTTATTGAAACTAGCCTTAGCCATTGTAGTTCTCCTTTTTATTTCTGTGGAACATTTGGCATCAGATGTTATTATATATCCTAGATATTTAAACTGTTGGACTTGTTTGATCTTTTCACCTTTGCTAATGAGATTACAACTAGGGTTTGCTACTTTTTTGGATATTACCATGCATTCTGTTTTCTTTACATTCAACAATAATCCTTTACATTCACTTTCTGTTACAACAGTATCTAGAAGCAATTGAATGTCCTTTTCGGAGCCTTATTAATATTTTCTCCATTTATTTTGAGGCCTGGACATTCTTCTATGTTTCTAAGGATTGTTTCACTGTACATGTTAAAGAGGTCTGGTGATATAACACATCCTTGCCTCACTCCTCGCCTGATCTGCTTATATTCACTGTATTCTCCATTAATTCGTACAGCAGCGTTTTGGTCCCAGTGCAAATTTCTGATAATTCTTAGATCTTTTCCATCTATGTCTAGCTTTTCCAGTATTTTGAACAGCTCATCATGTCTAACTTCATCAAACGCCTTTGAATAATCTATGAAGCATAAATATAACAAAAATAAAGAAGTATAAAAGATGGGAGTAAAACAAGAAATATATTTGAAACTTAAAAGTCTTTTCTATATTGAGGAAAAACAGCAGAAAAGACAAAAAACATGGAAGTGTAGCATAAAAATGTGCAATAATAAGTAATGATCAAAAAGCTAATCAAATCTCACTTCTTCCCGCATGAAGATGCAAACTGGGTGGAGAGGAGGTGTGTGACTGCTGTCCACTCTTGTGAGAACACCTTTGTGCTCACTGAGAATAAAACAAGATGAAATGAAAAATTCATAAGAGGAGAGTATCAAAAAAAGAAAAAACAGACACATCAAATACCTCTACACAAGAATACAACCATTAATCACTGCAAGAAGTAAACTTTATAATAGAAAAGGAGGGACGGAAGTAGTACTTCTAACAAAGCAGATGTTTTTGACTATACAGGCAATGATATGACATCACTTAGAGCAAGAAAAGAAAAGAAAATGGAGCAACGTCAACATTCATAATAAAGTAAAAGAAGTATACAATACAACTTTCCCCTTTCTAAACTAAATGTTCAGACCATGTGAAAATAATCAAAAATCATTTTACGAAATACAATGAGATAGGATGAGATGAAATGAGACAAATATAATATTCATTGTCCAGGTGCTGGCACATTGGTTTAGGGTTTCATCACACACACACACACACACACACACACACACATACACACACACACACACTCACACAAACACATGCACACACTCACACACACCCACATACTGTCTCACAAATCCTCTCTTCCACACATGTATACACATACACAAATAATATTATATTCTTACACTCACAAACAGTCACATGCATATGATATAAATTAAAGAACAGTTATTGTAAAAAATAATAAAGCCTACCTGTTCTTGCTTTCAAAGTGGATGAGAATACTCCAGAGATCAACTGATGGAGGGAAGCTATCCTGTAGTCTTTGACCTGAGTCAAGCTGCAAGGGAAAAACACAAAGTATAACATTAGAATATCAATTTATACCAAAAAGTATACTTAAATTACAACAGCATGTAGAGGAAACTAAAATGGGATGAGGAAAAATTTACCCTGGTGCTGATTTTATTGGGTTGTAAGCAGTCAGTAAGCAGCCCATAAGTCCATGCTATGAATAAATTATCTGAGAATCACAATACAGACTGTTTCAAACATAACTTTGCACTTTAAAAACTCTGTGGCATTTGTTTCACTTACTTTTGATACTTCATGTACTTCTATAAAAAATCAGCATAGAGATGTATCAATCAATCAATCAATCCATCAATCAATAAACAAATATAAAAATAAATAAATATTCAGTAAAGATGTATCTTTCAAATACACATGTGGAGAAGTGAAATGTACAGAGACCAAACAACCATGAAAAATTTTAAAACATAACTGATTGTAAGGAAGTAACTCTCAAAAAGTTTTTCTACCTGTATGGACAATCAAGCAAAACTCATAAGTTCTGAACTACAAGAATCCACAAACCTGCAAAGCAATGGTGACATCCTGCTCCACCCTTGCAGCAGAAGATTTGGCTAGCTCCAGCTTAGCATTGTTGGGTATGCTGGAAAATCTCACAGACAAGCTTAGATCCAGCTCCTTTCTTCCATGTCTACATTACACCACAAAGAGAGTCAGTTTAGTTATTTCTCTGATTAGAAAATTAGTGCCGGGGGGGGGGGGGGGGGGGGGGTTAATTGTGATCTGTACGTCTATTTTGCATTGTCATTTGGATCAAACAATTTTGTGGTGGTGGTAAAGTTTATGGATGACAAGCCCTCTCTCTTACACACAGACAAACTACAAACAAAACATTTTTAAACCAGCAAATGACATTCTCAGGCCTATAAGTGGAGAGGAAAAAAGTAAACTGATCCTTTTCACAAGTTTCAAGCCTAAAGTATAAACTATAAACTGGCAGACCGTCGACTAAATCAGTTGTCAGACCGGTCCGAAGGTAGACCGTCAAGTAAACCAAAGTCATTACAGTAGACTGTCAACTAAACCTGTACCCTTTTTCCTCAGTCCATATATGAATTTGATTGGTATCCATAGTGCTCTGAACAATTCCTTCTTAAGATGTCATTGTGACAGTAATCACTTTTTAAACTTACTTCACTTTCAAAAACAGTTACAGGGGATCTATTAATTTGTAATCTTTCAGACAGGACAACGGTTCACTGCAAGTTTGACTCTGGGCAAAAGATAATTATAAATCTAAAGCACTTAAGCAATCCCACACGCATATATATATCAGCATGAGAATGAGCAGAAATAAGAAGAGCATAGTTTTTTTTAAAGACTGCTTACATGTAAAACATGACAGTACTCAAGAAAATTTTCTTTAGTTAGACATAAACTCACACTAGTTTGTAATCCTCAGGTGGGATGAAGCCTTGCCGTTGACAAACTTCCTCCAGAATCTGAAAAGCAATGCAAAACAGTTCAACGCCTTGGCGAGGGACAAGACACTGTTGAATAAAATTATTCAAAACAAGAGCTTCAAATCCTAATTTAGTAAAAAAAAAAATTTTTAATTCTAACATTATTCTTTACAACATTCAAAAGCCAGATTTTGGTAAAAACTTTAAGTGGGAACAATTGTTGATTATAATGCACTGCACATATATATGATAATGAGCCACTCATATAGGGTAAGAGGTGGAATGAAATTACACACTGAAGTTCTCTTTAGTTTTTATCAATCTGCAAATGATTCAATATCATTATCAGGGACTATTTCTAAAGCAGCTACCATAAAAAGAGGCATTCAAAAACAGGGAGGCTATCGTAGAGAAAGCACTTTCTAAATGTGAAGTGTATACAACCTGAATCTTTAGGCCTTGGCCTACCTACAACTATTTTTTTTCTGGGCAAGTGTTCTACTTAACGGTATACAAAACTGCATAACATATATATGAGCTTGCTGGTCTCATTTTATATTAAAACATTTTCAACAGTTTTTTTTAACAGGTGTAGAATTTTGAATTTCGCTTGGGTAGCTGAAGCCAGCGTACTCTTGATTTCGGACCACCAAAGGATCTTTAACATGTGCAACTTGCCCACGGGACACACTGCACACGAGACCTCTGAGATATTTCGTCCTTGTCTGAGAACGTTAGGAGTTAGATCTTTCCGACCTACCATAAAGATAAGGGGTGTGCTGACAGACAGTGACAGTGCAGCAGTAAAAAGAAGCCAAGGAGTAGCAGTACAAAGGCTGCAGAAAGAGTCAAGAGCCCAGAGGAGAGGGCAAAGGAGGTGAGAGGATGGGGTAGAAAGTGTCGACGAAAGCAAACGAATCAGAAAAAATAGATCTACAACTCAAATGACTCACACCGTCAGCGACCATCATAACAATGACATGAAGGTTTTGAAATGAAAATATGTGAGTTCGCCTTGTTGTTTGTGTTAAGAAACAGAAACACTGCAAAGAAACTCAAACCTAGATCTACATGATGCTATTAATTGATCCAAGAGATCCAAACTGAAAATCAATGGCTTAATTTGAGAAAATAGGTACCTGCAGAAGTTTGGTATTTGGAGTAATTTTAACATTTTGTCTTCTTCCGTTTGGACACAGAACTTGCACGGAGGCCGCCATGTTTGTTTATCCAAAGGGGAGTTACCAGTACTCTTCTTCCGCTAAGAAAGCTTGTCTTGACAACATATTTGATTGGATGAGTTATCTACTCCCAGCCAATCGTTTCTTCAGACTTCAGAATACACTTTCTACAGTGATTGTTATGGGTGAGAAGGACTGCAAAAAAGACATTCGAAGCGGTATGCCAAAATACTTTTTGTGCTTGATTTTGCTTGGTTATGTCTTTTTATTTGATCCAGTGAGTCTAATGTCTCACGTTACAGTCTGAGCAGAGGGAACACTAGATAGGTCTAGTCTATCTACAAGTTTTTCGATTCAGAGGCATCGCTCACATTCATTCGTCAGAGTCAGAGTAGCTAATAACATGATCAGACACATCATTCAATAGAAGTAGGCCTACCGGTATCTGGGAATCAGAAACAGTCTGTCTTTATTTTGAGTTTTTTGACCGATTTAATTTCCTTTTTCCTGTGAGTAAAACAAATAGCAGGGAGAGCCAGTCCTCATCTAGATCTGGATAATCTAGATTTAGATTTACATCTTTTTATGCCAAAGTAAGAGGAACTTCCGAAGAAAACAGTCTGTACGGTTTAAATTCTGGCCCAAAAAACCTCACCCAAAAAAGAATAAAATCAGAGTGTGGGATGGAGGCTGATGAACCCAAGATTGTCCTAAGCTAATCTTAAGTTTGGGCAAGCCGTTTCTTTTCGTTCTGCTCTAAGTTAGTACCATCCTTCTTCTGTATTCCTATGATTAAAAGACTTATTTTTCAAAGAAAAAATTATGTTTTATTTTATAGATCTACACAGTGTCTATTCGGACACGGACACGATCATTCTAAAAAGAAAAATTTTCCCTATGCACTTTAAAAACATGTTATATTGCATGTCGATTTACGCCAAGAAATGAAACAATCACGATTGGTTTTCATTAGGCCAGGGCAAGATCGACGGCAAAAAGACTCGAGGCCTCGATTCCAAAACTGAAAAAGAATCGAGGAATCGAGTCCGATCTTCGAGTTTGGAAGCTGCTTCAAGTGGGCCTGGCTGTTTAGAGGCCATGACTTGAACACTGCTAAAAATAGCTTTTAAACTCGAGGCCTCGAGTCTCGAGTTTGACAGACATGGCTGGCAAAGCCTGCGCGCGTTCCAAGACAAGTTGGCTTTCACGCATTTGTGTGTTGTAGGTAGACTTGTAGGGTTGCCTCCCTTCTATCACTCTTGCCAATGCGTAGGGAACAGTCTCCTTCTCTCTTGCATCCTTTGCTTCCTGATATGTCAAAGCATGCTTTGATGACAAATGTTTTGTTATTGTCGACGTTGTCGTTGTGCTATTGTATGCCAAATAATTTTACATGTCATATAAACAACAGTACTGTGTTTTCCTGCTTATTTAAAAAAAGTCCCAAGCTAAAGATCGACGTCCAGACCTGATGACTCATTATAATATCAACTCAAAACACACAATATGATTTACAAAAGAATACATGTACAGTGAAAATGAAAGTGCAGTGAAATTCAAAAGCAAGCATTTCAAACAAAAGAAAGAGAAACAGGAAGTGAATGATTTAATTTGGGATGGGCGGTAGACACGACAAGTAGGCCTAGGCCTTGTTTAGCATTCACTCATAGCGGGGAAGAGGAAGGTTGGGTGGGGTGAGGGGTTATTGCGTGAGACAATTGATAGTGACTGACTGGCAGTTTCTTGCATAATAGTTGCATTGAGTCCCGAGCAGTTGTGAATTGCTATAAAACATCAGTGGGACAGGATGATCTAATACTGTTTTCTCTTTCTCTTTTGTCTAATACAAAGCAACAGAGCACAGGCACATGCAACCTCGATTCATCCACCTTGAAGACACAGTCTTGAATCTAATGTATCTAGATTCTAGGCCTAGTGCACGCCAAATTCAAATAATGAAAAAAAAAACATAAGTAAACAAAACTCACAAAAATTAATGTAACTTGGTAATCGGGCATTAAATTGCGTTCCCCGCGTAATTTTTGCTAATTTTGGGTCACTGATCTCGAAAATCTTATTATTTCTTAAATGTGGCCAATATTTAAGAAATTTTCGGGATGCATTTTTAACTCCGCCTAGGCCAAAGAAGCCGTCTTATGCGCCGGATCAATCCTGTCCTGGTGCGGTGTCTGTTTTGAAGCAAAAACTCCACTGTGGGGTGGGACAGCCCTAGGCCTATCGCACGACACGACATGACTGTAGTGCGATAGAGATTTAGATTCTTGCCTCGATTCTCGGAATTTAGGCTAGGAACAAGGCTAAAAAAGGAGACGGGAGGCATCGCCCCTGGACAGACTCGAAGCTTTGAGTCTGTGAACAAAATCGATTCTTTGAGTCCTCATTTGGACTCGAAAGAATCGATCCCAGATTCGATCTTGCCCTGGCCTAGTTTTCGTCTTTCTATAAATAGAAAAATAGAATGTAATTTTAAGCAACTGCAAAGATGCGCTAGTCCAAAAAGAATGAGAGGCACGTCATTCTCAAAAAGAAAAAAACCTACAATCTACTGTAGCCTACTGGTGTTCATGCTAGGGTTGAAGGACACACGTGTCTGAATATACACAGGAGCTTAAAAGGACACTTGACCGAATTCCATAGACACAGCATTTATTATAACGGAAATGAAATGTTGGTGCCAGTCCACCTGACATGGCCTGATCTAAAGATGTTTCTGTTTTAACTTGGTCTTGATGATGTACCACCTAGGATCCTAACCTTAACCATAAGTTGTTGTTACCCTTTCCCAGACCATCTCTAACCATTTATTGACACAGATTACAGTGGACTGTGACAGTTATATCAGGTAGACCATCAAAATCAAGGGGACTCAGGACTGGCATTTAATTTAAAGTCTATTTTCGTCTTGCTAGAATTTTAACCGTTTTTTTTTTGTTTTCTGTTTTGTTTTTTTTTTTGGGGGGGGGGTTCGGGGCATAAAATATTAAAATATACTGTCCTGTAGTTCAGAATTGTAGGTCCCAAATACTTCAATATCTGAGCACCAAAGATGTTTCCAAGGCCTACAATTCATACTACTAAACTTTTGTGTAAAATGGATGCAGTTGAAAATGTCACAAGTTCCCAGCTAGCATGCAATTAAATTACTGTCCTTTCTGGTCAGGATCAATATTTATATCATGGTGGCTGGATCAGGAAATGACCAAAATGCAGTTTTTGGGATACCTGAATCGGCATTTAATATAAAGGTCTTGAACATCTAGCTCTCGCTGGCAAAATTGAAGGCAAATGAAGAAGGAGTAGGCCCAGAGCAACCTACTTAGGGAACCTAAACAAATGGATAACTGAGAAAGTTCAGGGTAACATAGCTTTTTAAGAGCATCCGAGTAAAGGAATGAATGGAGAATCATGATCGCCGATGTCTGCCGCAGATCTGGCACTGGATGATGATATAATGATGGTCATGGAGGCTCATATTTTCGAAAAATGGCCAGCTTCTAAATGTGGGTAATATTTTGTGGAACTGAGTGTTTAGACTGTATAACTCGAAATTGATTTTATTCAATACAAATACAGTCGAACATTCCATGGCCACCACTTCTCTAAGACGGCCTCCAGTACAAACGGCCACTTTCCATTTCCCCCCTTGCGTTTTTTTATCATTTAATTGTGTAGAACAGGAACCTGCCCAACGCGGTCACGGCCACCATATTTTAACACACAACCCCTATCACACCAAACAATAATCCCTGTCTTGGACGGCCTCTTTAGTGACTCCATTACGTTTTGTCATATATCATGCATTGGCCCCTGGCATTGTGGGCGAGCCATCATAATCCAATCACTTGTCGTTGTTGTTAGGTAGTCCATCCAACCAATCATTTTGCATAGGCCCGTCCCACTTTTCACCAAAGGGTAAAAAATTTTCAGCTGCTGGTGAGGTAAGCGTGCGATCCCTCATAACCCACCATAAGCCCCACCTAGAACTCATACAAATCGTAAGGGAGATGAGTGGTCACTGTTTACCTAGTCTGTAACAAAGTAACATTGGACGTCAACATGAACTTGTGACAGAAACATCGCTCGTTCTCAGAGTGGTGTCGACCCATGTGTTTGTTTTACCATAGCACTCGGTCCTCCTTGTCTGACACATTTCGTTTTATTGTCACCCTTGCTCAAAAGCAGAAACAAAATTTTAAAAAGAATTTTTAAAAACAGCGAAAACAACAACTATTAACAACAACAGCAATGCGGCGGCCTCTGAAAGAAAGGGTTTGTTTCCTTCATCCTGATCAGTCCTACCTAATACGGCCACCTGTCTTATACGGTCACTTTTCTCCTTGACAATGGGTGGCTGCTTGCGTGACATTAATGATAAAACAATGCTAATATATATATATATGTTGAAGGCTGCACTACTCTGGAAATTCATTTTGTATTGTATGCCTGTTTTTAATGATAAAACAATTTACCGAAGGCTGCATTACTTTTTATTCATTTTCACAGGATGAAGTTGCCTCTCTGATCAGATTCCCGTGTCTGGTTGAGGTTAGCTAGTGGTGTGTGGTCCCCACTCAAATGTAAGCATGATATGTTTGTTTTTGTTAATAGTAGTAGATCTCCAACAAGGTTACCGTGTTATGTCATTGTGTATTTGTCATGATTTGTTTGATATTTGTGACTTTAACCTTTTATAAATTGTTTCAAACTACAACCGTTTCATGCTGTTAGAAGCTGTTGGGGTTTTTTTTAATCCTCATATAGTAAATAAGGACCACTCTTTCAAACTCTGGGCCTCTTTCAATCTCCTCCTTGCCCCCATTTTCCTAATATGTAAAGTTTCAATGTGTACTGTGATACAATTATATGTGTGCATGTTTGGGGTTATTACTAGTAGCTCACTGCACTTTTTTCGTTTTGATGGTGGGTGGTGGGTGCATTTTGCAGCTTTGTTCGTATTCAGAGATAACTGTTCAGGTTTATTTCTCTTTCGTATTTGTACAGATGGCTGACCTCTGCATCATTGACGCCGATCCATCGGAACCTCCCTCTCATGACGGTCAGTAAAGAATAGTGGCTACTGTACCTGTCAGTGACCTTGTGCTTGTTTCAGAACTTTGGTCCACAATGTTTATAACAGTTTTTACTATTGTTGTTACTAAACTGGAAAGAGGGACCACATCTCAGGAAAATGACTAAAACCTAAGCATGGTTACAATTCTTTGTTATTATCTTTTGTTGGTTAAGTTTTTTATCCTTAACTGATTCCGTCCTTGATTTTTTCAGACTCTGGACAGAATTATTTTTCCCTGTTCAGTTTTAGACCTGGGGTGCATCTATTTAATGCATTACTGTGAAGCTCTAAGTTACTCTAATAGGTATTGTCATATACCAAACTGATGGGAATAAATAGAAGAATCTGTTTATATCAATAACAAAGACCTATAATCTGTTTGTATTGCATTTTCCTTCAGACAAAAACGAAGGAGAAAAAAAAATTGCGCAACAGCTCTTCGAAAATTTCAACTTACCGCATTTTCTCAGCTCTACAAGTCCTTATAATCCATAGGAATCAACACAAAACTGTGGCGATACCACCCTAGCAAACATTTATATGCAAGAATTTCACAAATTTAGTTGAATATCTTTCTTTGAAGGGCCTTACCAGGCTTCGTGTTGTTTACCCTTAGATGTAGCCTACATAGCGACAACAAAACAACGATTTTTGCAAGAATTCCAAGGAGTTTCGATCGATATTGGCGCTCAGAGATTGAGGTCAGGTTTGTTTACAAGTTCTACTTCGTTTCGACAACTTAAAAAGTAGGAACTATGTTAAAAAGTGCACCTTTGTTTTGGATTTCGTTGAGCTGCTCACAGCGGTCGAATGGAGGCAGCGGAAAAACTCAGAGCCGCTGTCAGCGGCCGAATGGACGGAATCAGTTGAAGAGGTTGTCAGATTGAAGATAAACTGATCACCAGAAGCAGTGTGTCATTAAACATTTCCAGTTAGATTCATTATCTTCATTCACTTTATTTTGTGGTTAGATTTTAGGAAGTATTTATTTATTTATTTATTCGAAATATGTATCTTGCTAAGTGTGCTTTTATGTTTTTTGTGCTTTAATTTTTGTAATATAAATTATAATTATGAACTTTTCATGTAAATGAAGAGTCTTCAATTTTGCAGCTGTGATCACCCTTGCAAATCACCTTCTGTCTGAGTTCAACATCCCAACAAAGATTCTGAAGCTAGAGGATATCAGCGCAGCCCTCTTCGTAGTATTGTATGAAAGTCTGTTTAGTGACAAATTACCTGGTAAGATTTTTAATCAAATATCCTTTGTAACTTTGATTTCGCCTTATGCTTTTGAAGTCCCCAGCCTGCCCATACTTTTAAGACTATTTATTTTTTAATGGGATTAAGATTGTGAGATGTTTTGATCAGGAAAAGTATCTAAACATTGGTAATGGTTGAGACCTTGATCTGGGGTATCAGTGCAAGATTTTCAAGAACTTTAGACATTGTAGTTTGGCGGGTTCTCTGGTGTGGTTTGCTCCTTCTTTCCTATCAAACATGTATCGTCCTTATCTCCCCACCTTCTTTTTTGTGTTTGTTACTCTCTTGTAACACCTCTAATCTTCGGCACTTCTATGACATTATGTTGCAAGCACCGTAAAACCTCTACTAAAAAAAAAAAGACATTGTAGTGAATAAGTGGTTAAGACTGTTATATGTAACAGTATTTTCTCTTGATTTGATGATAGAAGAGAATGTAAAGACCAGGGTAAGTGTTTTGCTTGCAAAATATTTGTGAGAAACAAGCTTAAAACGAGAAAATTATTGTTCTGCTGATAAAATTGTACTCTGGTAGAACAACTATGTGAGCTTTGTTTGATTTTTCTCTTATTTGACCTTTTTGTTGTGTGGCTGTGTTTCTCTTTTCTGAAACTCTAAAAACAAATGTGAGGCAGCATGGTGAAATCAGGAACTCGTCAAAATTATGAAATTGAAGAAACTGACATTTTTCTACCAGTTTGGTAATTTTTATCGAATTTTTGTTTTTTGGCTTAACACCATTGTTGTCTATTTAAGAATACATTTCTGGATGGATTTTTACTGAAAAACGTTGAATAAAGCCTAAAAAAATGTACGTTTTCAGTTTCAACGGACTGTCAAGCTATGGAAATAACCAAGCTTTGGCAGCCATTTTCACGCTTATGCCACCTCTGAAACCAGGCGACCCCACCTTCTTCAACCTCAAATATCTTGACTTTTATTCAAGATAGATGGGCATTTTTTTCACCGATAGCAAGACAATTGAACAAGTTTTAAGATAATACCAATAACTCCACATGCCCAAAATTTGAGGAGCGCCGGATTCCACCACGGCGTAACACAAAATGATATGTTCTTTCTAGGTATAATACGTCAGCCTTTGTCCAGGGAAGATGAAATTCACAACTGTCAGATCGTGATTGATGTCTTGTCGACCGACGTCGTGCGAGACAGCCTCAGCCACATCCGTGCAGTGGACATTGTCGCTGGAGACATCACAGCCATATCCAATTTGTTGGACATCTTTTCCTATTTGCTGGAGTATGTCATCAACAGGATTGAGAGTGACGGCCCCACAGACAATGATGGTATGTAGTGTGTCAAGTCAGGTCGATCCAGTGACCTTAGAACTACAATCAAAATTGTCGAAGACAGACACCCATTTTTAAGAAGAAAAGTGATTGTCTTAGACAGGTTTATGTGTCATAATCTAGAAGAAACAGGAGGAGGGGAAGTGGGAGATGTTTTTTATTTATACAGGTAATTGTCTAGGACAGATGGTTGTTCAAGCAGGTACAACTATATTGGCTTTCTGTCTCCTCTACAATAAGGAAGAGGATGCAACCCTGTGTTTCTAAACGTGGCAAGATTTTTGCTTTATTTTGACTTAAAATTTTTAAGAGAATCAGTCTATTTCAATTTTTTTGGCATAAAAACAGTGATTTATTCTGTTTATTAAATTTTCCTGTTCAAACTGTGTCTGTTATTCAATAGTCGTGGTTCATCTAGAAACATGATGTGTTGTCTTTATTGGGTTTGCTTTGGTGTTGTTTTCCCCAGAAACAAGGTCTTTAGTCTTATCAGAATCTGATTTGGGGGACTTCAAAGTTAAGTCTCCCCTTGGAGATATCGGCAAGCAGATGAAAAAGAAGGAGGCCACCAAATCAGAAAAACCCAAAGTTGGATCAGCTTTGTCAAACAAGTACGTTGAACAATCTACTGAAGCTTCCCCTAATACGTTGAAGAGTCCTACTCCTCTCATTTCCTATTATTTCCATCCTGTCATCTTACAAATTTTTTTTGTAGAGAGTTAATACATATGGAGTCTCAGCATCTTCCAAGGTGTTTCATATTTTACCTCTCCTGCTTGACAGCATCATGTGCTAGTTCATTTTATGTTTGTGAAATGCGCACATGTCATTGAAATCAAGAATTCCACCTAAATATGTTATTAATGTACTTACTAATTAATGCTTTACCAATGGTCACTTATAAGGACAAGCGGGTTAACCCAGATTTCAGGGGTTTCCAGAAATCTTGACCTGCACCAAAAGTGGGCATTGCCCTACCTATGGGAGAAGTTTGGTTTCATTGGTGTGTATATTTGTTTGGTTATAGAGAAAATTCTCCTTGTCTTTTAATGAGACTGAATAAGGATCCAAAAGCTTTAACTTCGATTTTCTCCAAACACCATTTATCGGGAGAGCCCCCTTGTGCTTAAAAGTGACCAAATGTTGTCATGGATGGCTGCAGGGCAGTGGTACGTCATACTTCTTTACTGTTCCTTTGTTGTTTCTTTCTGTCTGTCTTACTTTTTGTGTATTAAATGATCATTTGTGTGTTGATGTTCTTCTCTTTACTCAAACAAACGTACTTTACTCAAATTAGCAAATGTGGTGTCCTTTATTTCTTATAACATACCCGTTACATTTTTTAAATATTTAAATAGAAATGACATTGCAAGTCAAACTGGACCTATTGAAGCTTTGGAGAACATCTCCAGTGTGTGTACTTACTTACTTTTACTTTTTCATCCTCTGTTGCCGTTAGGCGTCGAGGGGAGATGCTGTTTTCTATGGTAGGCCAGCTTCTCAGCTCTTTCAGTTGTGATGTTGTGTTTTCTTAGGGTTTCCTTGACCCCTCGATCCACCTTTTGCGTCGCCTTCATCTTCCTTTATAGCCTGAGTGCTTGGTGTTGTAGGCTCTCGGGGCTGGCTGGTCAGGTGATATGCGTAACAGGTGGTCAAACCATTTTATCCTCTGTCTTTCTATGTAACGCAGGCAGGACTCAGTGCCGATAGCTGCTCTTACTTCTTCGTTTTTGTGCCTGTCTCGTCTTGTGTTGTTAAGGGTTTTGCGGAGACATTTCGTTTTGCTTTCTTGGGTTTTGCTTAAAGTCCAGGTCTTGCACTGATAACATAATGTTGGTATGAATATTGAGGTGATAAGCTGTCTCTTTGTGTCCATGGAGATGTTTGGAGGGGTGCGAGCTGGTAGGTTACAGCGTTGGCTTTTTGAGTTCGCATTTCTGTTTCTCTGTCTATGGACCCGTTTTCGGTGTGTGTTTTATGTAGTATATTTCTTTGGTTTTATTGCAGTAATACTCTTTAGGCAAACAATATTCAGTATTTGTCTCTGTGCTTTCTGCTTGCAACATCTTTTATATTGTTTTGTTTTAGAACCAACAACAATGGAGGGAGGACGCTGTCTCAGAGACAACCATCAAAAACAGTTCCGAGTGGAAAGAAGACCACCGCAAGTCTAAACACAAATGGTAAGTGTACCAAGTATTCTATATGTTGGCTCTCTTCATAATATAGACAATGCATTTGATATTATATGCTTACAGGTGATGAGACGCGTAAAGTAAAATAAATAATCTTATGCACTTCCCTTGAATCAGTGTCTTACTGTAAACTGGACGTGTTGCATTTTTTCATTTATGATTTTTAAAATGATTTTGATTGACCATAAATTGGGGGGGAGGGGGGGGGGGTTGATTGATTTTATTATTTCGGTAGGTGTAACACTTCTTTTTTTGTGGTGGAAGGTCGGGGGGGACGTACCAAGATCTTGTTTTTAGGTTCTCATCTCTGTTGCCACAAATTCAAAGAATAGTGATACTTATGTCCTCATTACTAACATGTGACCCCATATTCTATATCATTTGTCAAAAGTGTGTTCTGCTCAGTCTGTCTATTCTTTTCTTCACAGAAAACAAGAAAGTGATCCGTCATGAGGATCTGTATGCCATGACCTATGGCAGTGGCACTAGAAGCTTCTCACAGCGTGCACCATCTCCTATCAAACCGGACGACTCACAGTCACTGTTAGGCCGTGAGTTGAATTCACTTGTTTCAGCATTTGTCAAACATTCAGATGTAACTATTTTCTGAATAATGATTATGATGATGATTACAATAGATTGTCTATCATGAATTAATGATGACCTTTGACATCCAAGGAGGAAGAGAAGTTATAGACTTTGCTGACGATACATAGCATGCCAGAGAGAAAATTTAAGGAAATAATAGCAACTAGCTTGTTATGATCACAAATTCCACAGCTGTCAACTGATAAAAGCATCTTTTCCTCTCCTAAAGTGGTGTGCTTATCTGCCTAAACATAAGGTACATTGCTTAAACCTTCTAAAGGCTAAGTTTGTGTCCTTCAGGTATTATTTTCTGAGTTGCTGTCATATAACTCACCTTGTTTCGTTCAATTTTTTGTGCTTTTAACTTTCCTTTAAAAAAAAAATTGTCAAAACTGGCTTTCAAAATACTGGAGTTTTTAAGGAATTATCATTGTAAAATTTCCCTTATCTTAGTCATATTTTTACAAATCAACTGTAAAGTAGAATAGGCTCATTGAGAGATGAAAGTTATCAGTTCTGTTGTTATCCCTTTCTATATCTCTAATGTGAGCAAATTATGCTTTGCTTGTCAGGATGAAGTATTTTATTAATGAGAGAAATGACATTAAAATGTAACTCTGTCTTCCTTCATTTGTCTTTCAATTGTCATGTGAATTTGCTGTGAAGTGAGGAATTAGAATCTTCACTGATTTTCTTGTGATCTGAAGGCTAGCACTACACTGTTCACTGCTGCAGTGGGCATCCAGACATGCACAATAATAAAAAGGTGTGGGTTGAAATCTAATCTCTTAGTGCATGTTGCTGCATCCCTCTCTCGTATGAGACATAACATCATGTTGAAAATGTTGAAGTTTTCACCAAAGAAATTATGATTAATTGGTTATAATCTGATTTTGTTAATCAGTGCGTCAGTATGAACTTACTACTGTCGTCAAGGATTTCAAAACGTTATATTGATATGTATGCTATTTTCACTGAAGTCTATACTGTAAAATGTGTATGTTTTATGTGATGTGGGTCAATGACCTTAAACACTGAATAAAACACTTACCTACCTACCTACCTACCCACCAACAACCTACCTACCCACCAACAACCTACCTACCCACCGACAACCTACCTACCCACCAACAACCTACCTACCCACCAACAACCTACCTATCCACCTACAACCTACCTACCCACCAACACCTACCCACCAACAACCTACCTACCCACCAACAACCTACTTACCCACCAACAACCTACCTACCCACCCTACTTACACACCTACCTAGATCACTTACTTGAGGTATGCTGTTCCTGTCTCTGCACAGAGAGAACCATTGACTCAGATTTTGACATCGACAACTGGGACAAAAAACAGCAGCCAGAGTCTCTGAGGGTGCCATCTCCCAAGGTAAACAATTTTTCATAAATTCTGCATCATCGTCAATGTAACGAAAAAGAGGAAAGTATTTTAGGGTTGATGTATGTCTGTCTATACAGGGGCATTTGACGGAGGGATTGTTTTTGTAGTATTGAATTCTGATTATTATTTCTTCTTCGCTACATAATGCTTTCACAGGGTGTAAAATCAAGGTCTAACAAATTATAAATGTATTCAGAGTTTATATACTTTTGTTGCTGAATGTGGTTGTGTAACACTAATATGTTATCTCTGGAATGGATCTGCGCATAGTTTCCTTTAAAAGCTTTATGCATGATCTGTATCATAGAGTTCATGTTTTACAACAGGTGCATGGTCTGCTAATTCTTTTAATATGGCTAACTTTTGTAGGTTTCAGGGCTGTTAAAATATCTTGTGATTATTCATAGCTTGTAGGATTTACATTTTTTTCTCCACTGTTTACTTGTTTATAGTTATGAGGTTTGAAGTGCCACATCCCCCCTCCCCGTGTCTTTTTAAGTTATTTGATTTGTAGAAAGGAGAGTTGGGGGGTGTTGAGTGTGTGTATTTGAATGTTTAGCTCATTGGAGAAATTTTGTTATTGTATGCTTCCCAAGAAACTGAGAAGGTTTCTTAGTTGTCAAGGGTCTGCTGAGGTAATAATATAGTTTGTAAAGAGCAATATGCATGCTGCTAAGCAAGAATATGTACTATATAATAAATGTTATTTATTGTCATTATTATTATTATTATAATTATTATCACCATCATGTGTGTTGACTTTACTTCAGATGGCATGGGAAGAGAAGGAGAAGAGTGACCAGGAGTCAAAGGTCAAACAAAGCGAGCGGGAGGAAAGAGCCGGCGCTGCTGCCAGTGCCGCTGCAGCTACATTGACTACTGCAGCCTCTGTCGCTGAACAGAAAGCCACCAATGGTAGTGTTCACTACACGTTCACCCATCATCTGTACCATCATTACGATAGCCCGAGAACAGGCCGCAGGGTCAACAGGGCAGGTCAGAGAGTCCTGAGTGAGCTGAAAGTGTTTGCTCACAGTTCTCTGCATGCTGTTCGGGATCATTTTTCACTTTTCACCTAAAGCTCTAAAGTCTTGTTGATTTAAAACTTCTAACTCACTGATCACATTGAGATGTATATTATTATATTCCTGCCCTTTCACGTTGAGTTTTGTTTATTATTTTAATGTTTCTTTATGTTGACATTGGTGTGTTACTTAACAATCTCTTATGAACTAAAAAGGACCCTTCAATTGCACAAAGATGGAAAGGCATTCAACGAATTGACAATGAAATCATCTGACAGGTGTCATCTGATTTTAGAATGGAATATCTTTTTGGCTTATTGTGCATTCAACATTTTTATGAAAATGAAAATCCTCAGCATAAATGCTATTTACTGTTAATAATCATATGATTATCTGAAAGTGGGATTGTGAAAACTCTGTCTACTTTTTCATCGTCTGTAAAGGAAGTGAACCTAAGTGAAAGTCAGTAGTGTGAGCGAATACATTTTTTTTACGCCTTCAACATTAAAAGAGATCAGTCTCTGATTCGTTGAATTGCCCAGAGATAATAAATTGTTAAGCTGAAACATGTATAGATTATCTCTAAGTTTTGTGTAGAAAACAGCTTTATATGCTATATATGTTTTTGTTTGTGTACTACCAATAGCTCACGAAAAATTTATTTTAAAAAAGAGTTGAATGGATGGACACTATTAGCAGTACTTTCACTTATGTAGACTGTGGGGGGGGGGGGTAGCTTTACATAAAATATTCGATTTGTCATGGGGGATGGGGGTGTTTTAGAATTGTTTTGGTGTCAGCTGATTTACAATGGTTGTGTAATGTGCTATTGGTTGAGAACAGAAAGCTGTACAAGCTGAGATAAATGTGTTCAGTATCAGAAAAAAAAATGTATGCATATCGTTGAATTTGTTCCTATGACCATCTGTATCACCAGTACAAATGACCACTTCCCACTTCTTCCTTTGCTTTATTTTTATGTGTTACAGTGACAGTGTCTAAGAGGACTGCATATTTATGTTTACCACTTTTCTCCTTGAATAAGATGGACTGAATTTCTGTGAAGATGAGTTATTTATATACAAACACGTTATGGTATGATAGCTTAACACTTTTCCATCATATTTTGGGAAAAATCCAAAGAAACTGGGTGGTAAACACCACCAATCGGCGAGATTAGGCGGCAAAGTGTTAAGAATTCATAGTCTTTCTGACCTTTCATTTTGATGCCTTTGTATTTTCAGTTGAAAGTTCAAAACCAGACAGGGCTGGAGGTGACATTTACTCTACAGCAGTCAAGGAAACTCTCCAGAACGTGTCGTGTGAGTAGAGTCCTGCCATGACCTACAGTAGAGTTTTTGGTATTGGTAGTTTTGAGAGAGAAGAGTCTCTTTGCTGACCATGGAATGATTAAAAATAATAATACTGACACCGTAAAACCTCAGTATAACGTCTCAAACAACTTTCATTTTAGTTTCCAAACTGTTAATGATGAAGCTTTATGACAATCTTTTCATTACTTTTTGCTTTAATATTTTCTCCAGAAATTCTACTAACTTGCTACAATAATAGTTGTTATGGTCTTTTTCCAAACTGTTAATGGTGAAGCTTTATGACAATCTTTTAATTTCTTTTTTTTTCTCCAGAAATTCTACTAACTTGCTTACAAGAATAGTTGATATGCTCCTTTTTCATACTGTTAATGGTGAAGCTTTATAACAATCTTTTGATATTTTTTTTCTCCAGAAATTCTACAAACTTGTTTACAAGAATAGTTGATTTAGTCTTTTTTCTTTCTGCAGCCTTCTCCTCATCACTCCCTGCCCCCAGAAAAGAGCCTCAGTATGAGAAATCAGATCCCCTGCGCTCCACAGTTGGTCCTATCTCATATCATTCAAGGCTCACTCCAGAAAAACCTATGTCGGAGAGGTAGTTGATTTAGACTTTTACAAGATTTTAGTAATAATAATAATGCAGAATTAATGATGCGCCCACTCCCATACAATACAGCTTTAGGTTCTTTACAATACCTTCCTTTTCACAAAATTATGTTCATGAACGTGTATACGTACGCTCTTTAGATTAACACTAACACATAAGCAGACATTCATACTATCTAAGTACCATCAATATGCACATCACATAGTGAACAAAGTTCTATAAATAGGAAAGACCATTTGTCAAGATAACAGTTCTTGAAGTATGTTTTTATATGAAATTTAAAATTTTGCCCCCGACTTTGTATCCCTTAAATGTTGTTGTAGATAGTTTAACTTCAAAATAGATAGTTTAACTTCAAAACATATTGCTCTTTGTTTTAATAAAGTGTTTTTAGTTTGTTATTATCATTGTTGGATGACTAGAATGCGAGTCCTCAAAGAGTTCACACTGTGCTATTGCATTTATTCATCAGAAAAGAACTGTCAGCAAAAGGCTTTTCCTCTTCACTGGATGATCTCCGCCACCTAGTAGAGAAGACAGCTGCTTTGACAAGGGTTGCCTTGGAGACGAGCCCAGTGCGAGTGAGGACAGAGCGAGATCTGGATGTCACAGACCCGTAGTAAGTGCCACAAAGTGATTTGGCGGGTGGTTGATTGGTGCTCTGGAGTGGCTTGCTCCTTCTCTCCTATGAAACATTTATCGTTCCTATCGCTCCTTTAACTCAGTTGGTATCATGCTGGACTACGTAGTGGATGACCCTGTTTCGAATCTCATAGGCATTCTCAAACTTGGGTCGTTTTGTATTGTTTTCAATTCTCTCAAAATATCTGGCTTGGTCCTATCAGAGATGGACGTTAAATTCAGAGGTACTGCCTCTTAACTCATTCGCTACGCCGACCGTGGGGGGCGGCGCGGCTCAAGTGCCGTCAGTACGTTAAGCCGCCCCCGGCGGCTCGAGAACCGACGTTCAATTTTAGCTTGGTTTCTATTCCAATCCACTTATCCATGTTAAAAGAAAGGTCATAATATAATGTTGACTTCCGGGTCAAGCGTTTCCACCGAAAATCGGAAGTTTTGATTCAGTTTTGAAACATGATTTCGTAGTTTATTCGACTTTGTTTTATCGCGAAGCCCAAATTATAGCCCAGACACCAGTCTTAGTACTTTTACACAACAAAATGTATAATTATTTTGCTCACTAAAGAAGTGTAGGAGTCTTCTTTATAATATTGATACTATTGGACGCAAATTGCCGGTGCACTGTAATTGAGAAATCAATATTTTTGAGTGCTAGATCTAGGCCTTGATCTAAATAGTCAAAATATTTTTTTCTCCCCAAAATCACTACTTTTGGGTGAAATTAATCAAAAAGTACCTCTCAAGACATGTATAGGTTTATTCCAAGTGCAATTCTGAATAATTCCATATAAGTTACGCGTATTTTTTTCTGTTTGTGATCCTTTTTTCAAAATTTTTTTTAAAAAATTTTTTTCAATATCGGATGTTATGATCCAAATGTACAAATATTATGGAATGTATGTAAATAACTGCACATTTTTCAATATTTTCCTGTTCTATATACATTTATGGTTATTTTGAGGTATCATTTGACTAGGTGCAAACATGTTTTTTTAGTTTCACCTGAGATTAGAAATTTTTTATTTTCCAATTTTATCTGCATCCTATCACAATTGTGTTGCATAATCGCCTCTTACAGGAACCAAAGTTGAAAAATACGCAAATAGATAATGCAGGTGTATTCTACAAACCACACTGAAAATGTTGGTATATAATATGTTGATATTTATTTGAATTTATGACCCCAAAGAACTGCGAACTGCGCACTAGTCATCATCTCATTTCGCCCTCCCGAAAAGAATTCGTCCACAAGCCGAAAATAATACGTAGCGAATGAGTTAAAGAACCTGATAGTATTGATGGGCATTAAACCCATACACTTACTTACTGTTTCTCCTCCTTTTTTTTTCCTCTGTAGGTCACTCTCTTGTAACATATCTAATCTTTGGCACTTCTGTGACATATAGCTGTGTTGGAAGTGCCATAAAAGGCTTACTGAAACTAAAGCTCAACAGTTTGATTTGTTCTGTTTTTTCTCTTTTTTTTTTCTGTCAACAAGATAAAACAGTCATCTAAGTTTCATTTATTCTTCATCTACCTTTTCCCCATGTGATCTAGCTGTTTTCTCCTTGTTATTATGTCTTTGCCTTGTTCATTCTAACCACTCAGCACAGCTATTTGGTAAAGTGCCTTTATCTTTTTTTTTCTAAAGAAAGGAAATCATTTGTATTGATTTTGGATAGGCAGCTAGCCTTTTTTTTTCTTTTTTTTTTTTGTAGACATCCATCTGACAATGTGTTTTTATTAAATATACACATGGGGTACCCGAGTTATTTGCCTTTACGTGAAATAAATTGGTATTTTGTCCTTGTTCCTCTAGGATCTTGGGTACATACATTGCCTTACGTCATGCATTACTGCATGAACCCAGCATTAGACTAAACACTTTGACATGGCCGGGGACATGTCTCCCATCGCTGTCTCTTTTCTCCTGTCTCTTTTGTGAGATCTTGCCTTTTTTCCCCCAACGTTATATGACTATGACCATTATTACATCAGTGTACTGTTCCTCTCTTTCTCTCTCTCTCTCTCTCTTTCTCTCTCTCTCTCTCTCTCTCTCTCTCTCTCTCTCTCTCTCTCTCTCTCTCCCCTGCTCTCTCTCTCTCTCTCCCCTCCCCCTTCGCTCCCCCTCCCACACATACACTTGCACACAAAATGGTCTAAATTGTCAATTTCTATATACAGTCTTGACCGGCCCCGACCCACAATACCCAATGAAGGCGTGCGACTTGCTAAAGAGTTAAATGCCCTGGGCTTGGGCTCGGCACACACTGGGGGTCAGGTAAGTAGTCAGCATTGTCTCGTCTGTCAGATATTCCTAGGTCTCAAATTTTTCTGAATCATTTATCTCTTACATGGAATGAACAGCTAGTTTATGGTCACAATAACAGAATCAGTGCCGTCAGGACATGAGTTACTTCAAGTTTGTCTTTTTGGGGGGCTCATCCTGTGAGGCATTGTCAAGCAGAGTCAAACTTTTTCTCGGGTAATCGTAATATCTTGCGCCACCATCAACACAATTTCGAGCATTTAGGTGTCAGGCTGTTTCACCTTTGCTTGTCTAAATCCGTAAAGAATGAGCGGATACAGCATCCCAGCAGACAGATGGAAATACTTGATTTTTAAAATGCTTATCCGCTCTGGAACTGAACTCACACAAACTGTTTGCACCACATTCACTGGTATTTTTCTAGGGACAAAGTGCTTGTTGTAAGCAGGTTAGCAGTCGCGAGGCTGTAAAACTAGTAAAACTTTTTAAACATGGATGTATGGATTTTTCAACAGCTGCTGTCACAGTGTGGAGTTCCCTCCCTTTGAGATGCCTACTTTGACCACATTGAATCTGGTGGAAAAAATAATAATAGATAGCATTTGTATAGCGCAAATCCCCGCTCAACAGCAAGCTCTATGCGCTTCACAATCTATACTAAAAACACATTTCTTTAAATCCCATTGCACTTACTAGTTTGATTCTTCTTCCAATAACATGTGTGATCAGTAGCCACACTGATTGTCTTTTTGTGTACATGTTCTTTGTCAGAGAATGGGTGTATGTATTTGAAAGAATTGTATGTAAAAGGGGCCATTATTCACCAAATGTTGATTTAAATCCTGTTTTATTGTGAAGTGCTTAGAGCCACCAGGGAGTGGACGCTGTAGAAGTGATTTTTTAAATATTATTATTATGATTATTAGTATTAGTATTAATATTATTAATTTTTAGGGGCGAAATTTAAGTTACTTTAGAATGCAAAAGATGTATTTGATGCTTTTAACTTAAGATTAGAGTAAATAAGGCTTGTAAAAGCAGTCCAAATTAACTTCAGTGTTCAAAGTTATATAGTGTGATGAATGTCCGATGTCGGTGCTATGGAGAAGAAGTTACGAGCTTGTAAGACCTCACTGTATTGATTCCTGTATCTTTCTCCTCTACTTTGCATAGTCGCCTAAGAGAGGAGGGAAAAAAGTGGCTTTCGCAGCTTCAAATGTTGGCTCTGAATATGATAGCAGGTGAGTACTTACAATAGTTACAGCAGTTATGTACCGTGCAATTAATCGAGTACATTAATCGTTTAAAATCATTGGGTTCTGTGAAAACATTTTACAGTGGTAAAAAAAAGTTTGTATGGTATTTAACGTAGGGAATATGAAATCATATTAAATGCTGAAATATTGGTGGTGGATATTTTTGTCTATTTTTAGAAAATTCCCAGGTTGTTTTAGAAATTATTCAAATATCAAATATGCCCATTTATGTTTCATAGAAATAAGGGAAACAAGGTTGAAAATTCAAATTCTGTCTTTGCTTAAAAACTCATTTTAAGTGCTAATGAGAGAGCTTATTCAAGTAAATCAAGTAAATCATTGCCAAACATGTTTTTCCTCATGTGTCCTTGGTGATATAACTTTGTCAAGCCTCCCACTGCAAACTGCTTGATAAATAATGTTAAAAACAGATTTATTTCCTCCTGCCATAGATTTGATGAAGACCCCCTGAGACGCCCACTGACTGCGTTGCCAGGCAACCGTTACGGCAGTGAGCTGCGTTCTGCATACCGCAGAGATTTTGACTACGATAGTGATCGTGATTCAGATTTTCTCTACGATGAGTCAGATTTCAGGAGAAGGTATGTGGTTGCAGATCTTTGCAAAAGCTTTTTCCTTTAATGTTGTCAACAGCCTTTTATTTTTGTTTGAAAACTCTATCTGTTTTGGAAAGAAAGGGTACTGTTTTTTGCTCCAAGTTGCTGATATTTGTCCTCTTTGGTCTATGATATGTACTTAGATAATGGGGGGAGAGGGGTTTATGGGAGGTTGTTTTCATACTACAGTGGCTGACTTGTGAGTTTTCTTTCAGCAAAATGTTTCACATGGAAGATGAACTATAGTTGAGACAATTGACCGTAAATATTTGGTATTTCCAATATTACTGGGGTTTTTTGCTTTGGGATATATTATATGCACAGAGATTATGTAGTGGATATTATGAGTTTGATATTGTTGGTTCATCATTTTACTGGATGGCTTTGCTTTGTGAGCAGAAAGCTAATATAACTATTATACTGTAGCTATGCCCAGCTTTGATTTTATCAGTGTTTTCCCTGATCAGCTAAAGGTTGGAGAGATAACACACATTTTCAATATGAACTAAGGGCAGAAGATGATATCTACAGTTTTCAGTAGCAGAGTCTTAGATGTAATGGTAAGGCTTTTCATTATTTCATGCAGAATACATGTACAGGGTGATAAAAAAAAACAACTTTACAACTTTTTTTCTGAATATCTCGCCCTAAAATTGTTCTAGAATGCTGTAATTTGGAACAGACATAATTCATTCAAAAGGAATTTGTTTGATATAAAATCCACGAAGAAGAAACATGTTTTGAAAACGGAAACTGCTAAAAGAAACTACACCCAAAAACACAAATTTCACCAATGTTTAAAAATCTTGCAGGGGAAGTCGTGAAAAGATTAGTTGACCTTTTTCTTTATTTTCTCTTTGACATTAATTTTCGTTCCCTGTGACATTTAAAGAATATTTAATTTCTGTTAAAGAGTTTAAATTTTAAAAACCTAATGATTTCGTTCTGAAATTCCTAGATGCAGTGCTCCACATTCCCTCCTTTGGACTCGACACATTTTCATAGCTGCCAAGTAGTACGTAAAAAACGTATTTAGTACGATTTTTGGGGTTTGAGTACGGAAATCCGTTTTGGCATTGGAAAATACGTTTTCAACTTTTCCCCCTCTTAGTTTCAATACAAACTGGCTTCAAGCAAGAAAAATTAGAACATTTATGACCGGATAGGCGAAGTACAGGAGTCAACAAGACGACGAGAGTAGTGGTCCCTGCAATTAAACTGGAAGTCGACCTCCTTCCACGTGTTGTGCCCCTTCTGTATTTCTTTGTTATTAATGTTATTGAGCATGCGCTATTAAAGCGGGAAGTAAACTACGCAGACCTGCCACTCATCCCGATTTAATTTTTTTTTCCCCCAAATCTCAAGCATCCCGATTTTCCCGATTTCGATCGCCAGTATTCTGATTTTTTTTTGTCGTTGCGTCCGATTCTTAGAAAAAATATATAAAAAGTTCTGCAATCTCTTTTGCTTGGAAGCGCCGATTGGACTTCTTATCGGCTGGAACTTGGAACGCTATTTTCTAATTTTCTAAAGCATCTAGATCTATGCCGAATCTATTAGTTGACTCACGCTCGTTATTTCTACTAAAATCGACGTAGTAGTAGTAGTATCAATTTTGAATTCCCACTTAAACTTAAATACGCTCAAGATCTACTTTCGCTGACCTCGTTCGTGTGGTGAGTAGCGCGTGTGTCGGGGACCGTCGGTTGTCGGGGTCAACAAAGTTCATTCATACCGGTCGCAATGATCGAGGTGTTTTCCGGGACTTAACCAGTGTGGACGACCGGGGGGGGTAGGGGGGGTATTGCTTTGACACTTGGGCTTAAAGTGCGTGCCGTGATACATGTAGAATCTACTAATTGAGGGGAAAGGAATAAGAAAAATAATAAATGAACAACCTTGGCGCGATCTTTTTTCAGGAGGGGGGGGGTACCTTGAGTGTATATGCGATGGAAGTCTAACGTTGTTACTGTATGAAAAAGCAGACTTTTTCCCTGGATAATAGGAGTTATGTGTCAGCTATTTTCAAGACTACGAGAGTTTCAGCTTTAGTGCTACCTGCGCTCCCCCACTCTATCAAACTCCGATTCGAGTAACATATAATAATGCTGTCTTTCAGTTTTCAAAAAGCTTTGTCTTGCATACTCGCCTCATAAAGAACCGGGACCACCCCCACCCCCTTTTCCCCAGTGCCCCTTATGACTGATTTGCCGTTGATCCGGATTTTTTTCACTAGATCTAGACTCTAGATCCTGATTTTTTTACTCTAAAATCCTGATTTTTAGATTTCATAGAGTGGCAGGTCTGCCTACGGGCTTTCTTTGTTTCTCATTCATTCACATCGGGTCACGGGTCATCGTGTGTGTGTGTTGCCGGCAGCCTTAGTGATGATTGCACGCAGGAGCTAAAACTATTTCTTTGATCACGGACATGCGTTGTGCTTTCAAGTGATGGATGCGTTTTTAAAACCAACCAGTTCTAAGACAAAACCTCGCGAACACACCTTCTGTGCCAAGTATTCAGAGGAATTCAACTTCATCACTACATCGAAATTATCAAACAAACATGCTTTCTACAAACAAGGTGTGCCGACGTCCTCAATGACAATGGTCCATCAAGTGGTGTTAACATAGGAGAACTTGTATTGACAGAATTAGAAACCTTAGGTGTTCCTTTTATGCACTGCATCTCTCTGAGTTCAGACAATGCTTCAGTGATGATAGGACAAAACAATGGAGTTATAACAAAGCTTAGGGAGTCCCAGCCAGACATCTTTGCCATTGGATGCCCCTGCCATCTTATCAATCTGGCTGCACAGCATGCAGGTGTCTGTGGTGTGCTTATCATTTGAGTACAAGTTGTCTTTTGGTATCTTTTTGAAGTAAGAACTGGTCTCTTTCGCCGACTGCGCGTTGAAAATCTGTTTTTTAATTTTGAAAACTTGGCAGCTATGAATTTTTAACGCGTCGTTCGAAATGTTCAGTGGCGCCCTAACTCAAGGACCTGCTAAACCATGAGTTTTTAAAGCCACATACACTGTACATGTTCACTAAGAAGTGGCTTCTTGAGACAATAGAGTGGGGTGCCCAATAGACAGCATTTTTGGAGTTAACATATCCCGCAGGGTGAAAATGGGCTTTGCACTTAACCGAATGTCATCGAGGAAATGATTCCTCTTTGGAGAGGTAATGTTCAATACAAAAAGCTCTCTGCTCTTTACTAAACGTAACGATGATCTAAGCAGGCAAAAGAAATTTGGGAAAAATAATATCTACAGACTTCTGTTGACTTGTTAGACTCTTGTAGCTTGCAATATTGCGCGATTGTTGCAACTTTTAGTAGTAGGCCTAATGCAAACTGGTGCGTCATGTTATGAAAATGGCGACTAGGTTGAAAATGGGTTGTTTTTTTAATGCGCTATATAGAGCAAAACCATTCAATGGACTTCTCTAAAATACATATCGGACAAATTCTTTTTGGTTTCCAAATGTTATGTTCAAATCTGAAACGCAAAACTTCAGTATGGAGGAAGATATTTACAAAACAAGTTGTAAAGGTGTTTTTTTTATCTCCCTGTATTTAATTCCCTAGTGGGTGTGGGGTTTTTTAATGGAGCATCTCTGTCTGTCTACTGGAACATTGTATCCCTCTCAGCCCATGTGGGCCCTGACAGGCAGCCCACCTACTAAATGATCTAAGATGTGTCAATGTCGATGGGTCACAAATCATTTACAATCACAATTTACAAATTAGTTTGCAATTCTTAACAGCATAATGTTTTCACAATTTTTAGGGTAATGATGGCTTTACTAACACTTATCTTGTTGATTTAAGGATTAAAGTTTCCTAGATGCTGTTCAATACCCAGCTGTTCAGAGGTACTAAGTCCAAAATTAAAATAAAAAATATCTTCTGCAGTTTCTTTATCTGTGGTATCGGTTGTTTGTGCTCAAAAAATAATATGTCGAAATTCAAATTCTACATTTTGAAAAAAAGCAAGAAACTGTGCATAATGTCTGTACAATTGTACAAAGAATGAAAAGATTTTTTTATCTCTCTAGAAAAGTTGTGCTCTCTTTCCCTAGAAGAGTTGAACAGCTTGACGATGTATTGCTGTTTATATTTCAGGATTAACAACAAGGATGTAGCATACGGCGATATACCTGCAGATGCCTTAAAACCAGAACGCAAGCTCAAGTCAGGTCCGTCCAGGTGTGACAAGACTCCATCGCTGGTGACTCACCTGGCCAGGAACAGGCAGCCAGAGCTGGGTGCCGCCCACATGACGCTGAAAACAGAGGACCGAGCCATGCAGAGGAAGCAGGATGTGAGTCACCTTTGCTTGTGGCTTTACCATGATTTTTTAAAATACAGTCGAAATTGTCTTGGGGGGGGGGGTTTTGTGGTAAGTGTATTACAAAAGGTCATATGAGCACGGGGGACACATTAAACATTTTCAGTGGGTAGGAAATTTTGAATTTTACCCGGGTGGCGACGGAAGCCTACTCTTATTGGTTTGGGGCCACCAAGGGGTCTTTAACATGCGCAACTTGCACATGGGACCTCTGTGATTTTTCGCCCTTGTCCGAGAAGGCTAAGTGTAGATCTTTCCTACCCAGAGGAGGGGGCAAATGAGGTGAGGGGGGTGGGAGCAGAAAATGGAAACGAAAGCAGACGACAGAACATTGTAGGAAAGCAGGAAAGGATGTGAAAGGAGAAAATTTTAAAGGAGATTTTCCGTCGCTATCTGGATTCGAACCTGGGACCTATTGAATGAGAGACGAACACCTTAAACTCTAGGTCACGAGAGCTCCCTCGAAATTGTCTAAGATGTGCTTGGCCCCCCCCCCCCCTCCCTCCGCCATTGTTGAGGAGAAAAGTGGTTCTCTTAGGTGCACATCACCTCACACATTGTCTTTATAATGTAAGAAAAACACAAAGGGGAAAATGGGAAGTAGCTGTTTGCATTTATGCAAATAATTGTCTTTTACAGGTGGAGGTTAGAGCAGGTTGGACTACAGTTGAACCTGCTCTTACATTCACCTGTCTGTCCAAGACACTCACCTGAACGAACAACTGCACCCCACTTCCCTCTTTCCATTGTTTTCTTAACATTATAATGACCCTGTCGAAGACCTCATATATGTCGGTGGCTCAGTGGTTAGGCTCTTGGACGCCCAACTGTAAAGTCATGGTTTCGGATCCCGTCAGGAGCCCGGCATTGTGTCCTTGTGAAAAGCACTTCATATTAACATTAACAATATTATCGTTTATATTACTGTTAATTTATATTATGCATGTGACTGTAAGCCTGTTTGTGAGTGCAAGCATACTGCGTATGTTTGTTTGTGTGCCTGTATGTGTGTATGTGTGTACATGGTGAAACATCAAACCGATGTGCCAGGATCTGGACAATGAAGATGTATGTTTTCTTATCTTATATGAATTTTCCTCCCTTCTCCAAGGTGAGAATGGGTACTTTACAATAGACAACGAAAAAACTTGTCAGTTTGTTGGTGTTTGAGTGTATGCAGTCCACAGCTTGTGCTGTATGTTTCCCAGGAAGTCGGGAATGTTTCTGAGTGTTCTCAGAGGGTTTGCTTGGGTAATAATAAAATCGCTTAGAGCATACTATAGATTGTGGATATGCGCTATATAAATGCAATTATGATTATTATTATTTAAATTGCAATGAAAGACTCTCTTTTCCTCAGATTTTGCGAAAGATGTACGATGAAGACTTGGATGAGTTCTCGGAGGAGGTGAAATACATGTTGGACAAGGAGACAAAGAAGTCACGTGAAACAGTGAGTTTTGGATACCTTTGTCAATATTTTATAACACTTTTATTCTGCGAACTGTTGATTCTTAAATCTCCGGATGATAGGACTTTTCTTTGATAATTAACCTGATTTTTTAAAAAGGGAACTACCAACTTTTTCCTCACATTGTGTGATGATTATTTGTAAGTTCTCTTCCTTTTGGTTTAGTGTCAAGTAAACAAGCAGTTTACAGATGTAGGAAATGGCTGGACAAATGACAGCAAGAACATTTGTTATTCAGTTTCACCTGTGTCTCACCAACACATACTCTCTGCCCCCTCCCTTTGCCCATAACATATTCTTACTGAAGATAGGAAGAAAATGCCAGGACAATTAACAGAAAGAATATGTGTTATTCAGTTATGTATCAGTTATGTATCTGTCTCACCATCACCTTCTCCCCCCTCCCCGCCCGTAATGTATTATTTAAAGCCTCATCCTTCCATAATTTAACGTATTTTCTCTTCACCATTGTTTATTCTTCCTTTTGCAGGAAGAGCAGTTCAAAAAGAAATGTGCACCCGGCCATCCAAAAAAGAAAGCCCCCAAAAAAGCTAAAGGTAAGTGATTATATTAATTTTTCATACTTTGATTTCCTTTCCAGTTGTACATGTACTTCTCCTTTTCTGATGGGTTTTTTTTTACATCAGCCGAAAAAGTACACTTTATTTTGAGGTATCAAAGAGTAAGGCTAACTGAAAGGTGTACAGCTTAAGTAGGAAAGTAGGGTAAAACAAGATGGTTACTTTTAGCTTTTTTATTAGAATTGTTCAACTCGTTGGTTGATTTAATTTGTTTCATCTTTCAAGATAAAACCATTTAGTAATCGGGTACATCAGGTTTATCCATACAACTAACTCAATTTTCTTTACTGCTTCATCTGAAATAACTCAGGTAAAGATCTGATGATATCATGTAAGGTTTTCTCAATACATGTTGCCAAATGTTTGTTGATTTCCCAGGTACTCTCGTCCCTCCTTCCTGCAAGAAGCCTCGCATCAGCCGAGGGGTTGTGAGTTCAAAGGTCAAGAAGCGGTCTTATGACCAACACCCTGTTCCAGCGTCAGCCCCGTGTAAGACTTGCATTCATATGTTCAGTACATTCTCTGTGTTGTGGGGTATGATTTGGGAAGAATGTTGACAAAATGAGTTACTTCTCAGATTCCATCCCTATGAAAATAGACACATCACGCTTAAAGGTGAAGTTTTTATAATTTATAAGTATGAAATAATAAAAGGCATGTATATACTTAAAGAATAGGGTGTCAATAAAAAATCTACAAATTTGACCCTTGTGTCGATTTTTTAGATCTCCATTTGTGGATTGCGAGAAGTAACTCATTTTGTAGCACATCTCACATTTATATTATTTCTAGCATCAACCACCCTTTCTTTTGCTTATATACCCTGTGTCTAGTAGGCCTACTATGTGACAGGACTCATTGCTACTTTCTCTGTAATAAGTGCTGAGATGAACACTTTTGTTTAAAATTGAAAGACATATTTTAATCATTTTCATATGGTTTTATGACGAATTTGGGAGAAAGGGGAGCTAGATTTGCTTGATGTTCAATTCAGGTGAGCAACCTGAGTGTGTTGATAACGCCATAATACACAGTCTCCAATTTGCTCTGATCTCTAAAAAAAATTCTTGTGATAATTTGTATTCTTGTATGTCTTCTGAGTGAAGGCCTCACTATATCTCACCCGACAGGTTGTTCTTTCTAATTTCCCCTCTCAATGACAATGACAATGACAATCCTTATTCATCTCGCAGGGAGAAATTTGTCTTGGTCGTTAACATTTTTCAAGTCCAACCATGGAACATACAATGTGGTAGCATCCTGGTACTCTCAAATGTTGTCCATCATAGCGTTCCTCTTCAAGTGCCAGATCTGAAGCAGATATGAGCAATTTTGGCTCTCCACTCATTACACAAATCAGTCATGTTCACGACTCATTTCTCTGCTGAGATGGTAAAAAAAAACACATATTATCCTGGTTTGTCCCATGGCCTATTTGTCTATGTTTTCTTCTTAAATTAGTCATGGTCTACCCCTACCTCTTTTGCCTTCTATTTTTTCCAGTGAAAGTTGTTCAAGGTGTTAATATTGGTTCCAGTGTCATAGGAACCGTATTTGAATTTTCATGCATGTTTTTATCAGTGACTGCCATAGGTTGACTTCTTCTAGCACTGCCTCATTAAAAGCTTGCATGTGAAAAAAAATCTCTCTCATCTTCTATTTTGTCCAATGAGAGCAAGGTGTTCACTGTCTTTATTTTGATTCAAGTGTCCAAGGAGTGGTATCTATCGCTTCTGAATTGTCTAAAAATGACTTGTTTTAGCACTGCTAAATTAAAAACTCATGTCCATGCTTGCCAACTGTCGTGAATTTTGGGGGACTCCTGGATTCGGTAGTTAAGAATTTGAGAGCCTTGCCACATACACTACACCGAAACACATGATGTAACTTTGTTTGATTGTGCAATCTGATGTCATAACGAAGGGATTTCCCGATTGGGTTTAGTGAGTGGTTGGCGAGTGCTCTAGTGTTGTTTGCTATTTCTTTCCTATCAAACATCTATTGTCGTTATCTCCCCTCCTTCTTTTTTTATGTTTGTTACTCTCTTGTAACGCCTCTAGTCTTCGGCACTTATATGACCTTATTGTGTTGCAAGTGACGTAAAACACTAACTAAAATAAAAAGCGATTCGGATTTTTAAAAGTTGGCAAGCCGGTATACAGAAGAAGAATAAACGGTAACTGTTTTGCCGTGTTCCCAGTGAAGCTGGAGAGTGAGGAGGACCTGCTGCCGGTGCTGTTGGAGGAGTTCCCTCACCTCCACTTGTCGGAGCACACCTGGCACGAGCTGTGGAGGCACGGCCTGCACCGCATCGAAGCGCTCACACGTGCCTACAACGCCAGCCAGCGGAAGAAAAGCCAGGCTCAGAACCAGGTCAGGGATCCCTTCTGTTTTTTTAAGTGGGGTGTTTGTTGTACTAGAGATAGTAATCATCATCATCATTATCACTGTCTTTCTCACCCTTCATTAGGGTAATGGCTACGAACAAACACTTGTTTGGTAGAGTTTATTGAGTTTGTAGGGGGGAGTTATGCTGGCAGCTAGAAAACAAAATAACTTTACCTCTTAGTGGCACAGGAGGAACTAAAGATGTGGCTGAACAGTTGGATGTGTTATATTATGTATTTCAGTTTCTGTTTTTGTATTTCAGTTTCACTTTCAGTTTCCACTGTGTCTGAGAAACATGAGTGCTCGCTATAATCTCTGTGTGTGGTAGGTCCAGAGACAGGGACCTTACACAAGCATGCAGAACAGTGGGACGGAATGTAATAAGAATGAAAGTGGAGGTCACGCTATATTTTCTGGTCACTTGGTAGATGTATGATTTAGGCACTCATTATATTTTGTTTAAAAGCTAGGAGGGAAATAGCAAAAACATGCCCCTTGATGTCTCTATCGGAATAATGGCTTGATTTGGAAACCCCAAGAAATTGGCATGGCCAATTATGGAAAGACAATATTCAGGGGGGTTTTTGTTCCAATTATATGCGTTTTTCTTTTCGTTTACACCAAATTTGAGTTAATTTGGTCTTTGTTAGTATGCTTGAACGGTTGTTGACCCCTTCTGTGAAATCAGCTTCAACTTCATGACACTATAGATGGGTTGTTCTTCAAATGTTTATATGGATGGTTGGCAAGTGTTCTGTTGTGGTGTGCTTCTTCTTTCCTTTCAAACATCTATTGTCCTTTCATCGTCTCCTTTTCTTTGTATGTTACTCTCTACTTACAACACCTCTACTGTTTAGCACTTTAATCACCTATTTGTGCTGCAAGTGCCCTAAAACTTATACAAGAATTAAACTAGACTGCGGGTTCGGGGGTTCGAGCCTCAGCTCGGCCCGACGTTGTGTCCTTGGGAAAGGCACTTTACACGAACTTCCCACTTGGCTCGGTCCTATCGGAGACGGACGTTAAACTAGGATGTCCCAACCCTTAAATAACCTAAAAGTGTTGATAGGGGCGTTAAACCCATACCATTTCACCATTTTTTTAAAAACTAGACACTCAGATTTCAACTCTTTCTTGTGACCTAGTTTACTATTTTGTTTCCCCAGCTGGAGGATGCGGCACAAAGACACGAGCTACTGGGCAACATCATGAAGAAACAGCTGGACCACACCAAGCGACTTGTGCGTGAAGTTTTTGTTACCCGCTTTTCTTTTGTTCGTTTATTTTCTCTTTTTCCTCCCATCTTGTCATCCACGTGCCCTTTCCTTCTTCTCCTTCTCCTCCTCCTCCGCCGCCTTTTCTACTTTCTGCTTCCTCCTCCTCCTGCCCCTCTTCCTCTCCCTTGTCTGTGTTCCCCTTTTTGCTCCTCCTCTTCCTCCTCTTCTTTGCCCACATTCATATTCCTCCACCTCTTGATCCATGTTCCCTGTCTTCCTCCTCCTCCTCCTCCTCATCCATTTTCCCCTTCCTCTTCCTTTTCTCTTCCTCCCCCCCCCCTCCTCCTCCTTAAAAGAGCATACCGTATGTTTTTCATTCACGTTTTGATAATAAAATATGTTATATAAAGATCTATGATACTTTGAATGTCAAGTCAGTTAGCCCAGTGTTGCATCTGGTAGATTAACTTTTGGAAACTTGTTAATGTCAGTCTGATGGCTAGTATTTTGTTATTTGAAGACAATTCCCATTCTCTTATGAATTTTACTTCACCCCTTCTTGACGAGGATTTTTTTTTCAAACGTTTGTTACGCCCAATTGTTGCAAGCCAGAAAGATTAGCAGTTTCATTTATTTTGCAGTCCCTCTCAAAATGAAAGATTTTTTTGTTTCGCACATTTTCATTATCACTGATTTCGAATCTTTCATCAGTTTTCCTGTAGAATTCTATTTAAAGCTAATAAAGAACGGTTGTAAAATCCTGTGAGGTGCAATTTAAGATGTGCATTTTATGAGAGGACAGCTTCTTGGTCCACGATGTTCGATGTATGGTCCACTGGAGCTGTCACAAAGGGCTTAATTTCAAGATGTGTCTAATATTGAAATCTGAATTATTGTCTTCATGGTGTTATGTTCTTCTTTCGTTCTTTTTTTACTCCAGAGAGAAATCAAAGAGCAGAAACAGCTGCAAGTTCAGCTACGGAATAAATCACATGAGAAGAGGATGCAGTCGGCGAGGGCTCGCAAGTATTACAATGAATACCAGGTTCGAGCCCGAGGGAAGCAGTTGAAGAGGAGAACTAAGGAGGAAATGGTAAAATAGTGGATATTTTTGTTGTTGTTATATAGATTTTAATGATGTTTAGCTCTCAATTTCTATAGGTCAGAAAGAAAATGTACCTGATTTTATTTGGATATCTTTCAAAGCTACACTTTTAAAAATTTTGTAATAGGTATTGAAATAGACAAAACTATTTCATCATTTAGAATGTTTAATATTATTTTGTGCCCGGTGTAAATCTAATGTTCCATGAAAGGCTTTTCTTTGTGGTAATGCATGGGATTTTTTTTAAAGTTTAGCAAATTGTCAAAGGCCTGGAGGCACTTTGAAATAGAACTTTGCCATTATAATCACAACTGCTAAATTTCATGAATTTTATTTGTTTAGCTATTCCATAGTCCTGTTACACTTATTTGCTTAGAAGAAATTAATTTACTGAAATATTATTATTTTATTTTTAAGGTATTCCGAGAACTTTTCAAAGAAGCTCTTGACATTCAGAAAGAGCGTATCAAGGACATCCGCCAGTATGCATCGGATCAGCGCAAACGACAAGAGTCTCGAAGGCAGAATGAAATTGACTCCATGGAGAATTTGTATCCTTTGCCCCTATAATCTGATGAATGGTTTTCTGAAGGTGTTTAGTGATGTTATCAGTTAACTCCCACTCACAAGGACATGCTCGCACACTCTCACTTTCTTGTTAAATAGTATTAATGATAATAAATAGAATTTTTGTATGGCAAATTCTCACTCCACAACTAGCTTTATGCACTTTACAAATTATATTGTTACCTCAGCACACCTGATAGCAATCTGAAACAACCTCAACTTCCTGAGAAGTGTTTCACCCAGGCTGAGTTATCACAGAATTGGTGGGTACTCTGAAAGTGAGGTCTATTCCTTTTTTTCCTATATATGTTACAGTTGCCCTCAATTTGTTTTTTATGACAGTGGGCTCTTATTTTTTTGACAACAATGGGCTGTTATTTTACTGACTGACAGCAAGCCAGAGTCATAGGCATCTATAGTGGCGTCGGTGGTCTAGTGGTCAAGCTACCAGACTCGTAATCATGAGGTTGCGGGTTCGGGGGTCCGAGCTGCGGGCCCGACGTTGTGTCCTTGGGAAAGGCACTTTACAGGAATTGTCCTCACTTCACCCAGGTGGGAATGGGTACCCGGCCATAGACAGCGAAAGATCTTGTCAGTATGTTAGTGTTTTAGCGCCTATACATGGCCGCTTGCACTGTATGCTTCCCAGGAAGTTGAGCTTGTTTCAGAATGCTCTCACTCTCAAGTCTGCTGGGGTAATAGTATAGACTGTGAAGCGCTTAGAGCTTGCTGTTGAGGGGGGATTTACGCTATACAAATGCTATCTATCAGTTTTTAACAGTTACGCATTTTGCCATCACATGCTGAAGAGGTGAGGTCGACTTCCAAGTGGGTACATGTTTGTTAATCAGTTATCCTCGTCTGTCTGTTGGGATGCTGTGTCCCTCTGCGCGGGGAAACCAAGGTACAGTTAGAGCATGATTCTGTTGAAATTCCTGGGTGGAGTGTTCATCTGTCCTTGACCTTGGCCCAGTTACCGTGACCAGTTTGAGATGCTCACAGAGAGATTGACGCAGGAGTGCCGTGACACAGAGGTCAGGGAGACGGCCCAACAAAAGGTGAGAGATGATTTGTGCGGCCTTTTCCAATTTGGGTCTGTAAGATTCTGGTTGTGAATTCTGTATGGGTTTTGTTCTTACGGAGTTTTGAATAATTCATAGACAAGCAGTTCAACTGTTGTAACCATGAGAGCAAAATTTTTCTAGAGACTCAAAAGGCTGTTTCATTCTTATGAATCTTTCCTTGCATTTTTCAACTTTTAGAGTTTGAAGTTCGACCAAATATTTTTTGAGTATATATGCAATCAATACCACAAATAAAGAAGCCGCAATAGAAAAACGCTTTTTGTGCTCAGTACATCTGAACAGTTGGTCAACGAAATATGAGTCTTTTAATTACCTCTTCCACTTTTAAAAGCAATAAATCTGTTTTAGCACAGGTATGACAGGAAGGATGATGTATGGCCACATGAATAAACCACTGGTCAAAGTTCCAATCAATGAGTTGAGGAGGGGAGATCAATCCATAATCTTCCAACTTAAGGGGGGGGGGGCTACACCTGGAGGCTATCTCGCTTATTACTGGACCGAATTTTACCACATTTCACACATATAACAAGCATAGTAAGGAGTCTTGAAATCCGCAATCAAATTTGAGAAAAAAGTTTCGTTTCCATGGATACGCCGCCATATTGGATTTTATTGACATGTCTTACGTAATGAATACCGCACTTATCGCTCATGGAAATTGATTGTTTTTTTGCATGCGTGTTTACAAACATTATATCTAAAAATCTGTTTGTTGTTTTTTTCCTAATCGAATTAGAAAATTTTTAATGAATTTTTTCCTGAGGTAGCATTCAAGTTTGCGAAAAATCCGTGAAAATCCACACTCCAGACACCACCAACAAAAATCTATTCAATATATCAAAAATTCAACAGACAAATTTTTAGTATTACCTCTTCTCTTCATTCTGTGAAAATTTCATGAAGATTGGATGAAAAATGGTGGAGTTATTCAAAAAAGTATAGAGAAAAGTAGCATTTTGAGAAAACGGCCGATAAAGAAAAATAAGATACTGACTTTATGAGGAAATGGTGGTTACAAACATGCCCGGTATGAGAAAAAATACGATTCTTGGGGGGTTCTTATGCCATGAAATAGTTGTAGGAGAGGCTGAGGAAGCTAAAAATGCCTACAACTCAAATTCCATGATTTTGAGCCGAATTTTGATTTTGGGGGTGTAGCCCCCCCCCCCCCCCCCCCCCTTAAAACTCAGCATGTGCCCCTCAATCAACATCTCAACCGAATTGGAGTAAAGCAATTAATAAATAATGCTGCCTGCCCACTATGTGACTACCCCTCAGAGACAGTGGAACATCATGTGTTCTTCTGTAGAAAACTAACCGATTTGAGGGGATGTTTTCTTCCCAAGCTACCCCACACATCTAACAGCCTCTACTCCTCAAGGCAACTATTAGAACAGACATGCAACTATTACAGAATGGCATCATGCAGAAGAGTTTACGCTCAGATGCTACTGGATGGCTAACAACAATAACAACAGCACAGAATAGGTTTTCCCTGCGCTGAGGTATAAAAAATGGAGTGCACAGAGTCTCTGTTGGTTAAAATTGATGAGGCTTGTCATCGTCTTATTGTCTTTATTCTCAACTTGCTCACGCTCGAAATGGTCAGTCCAGACCATAATTTATTTTTAAGTGCTTCTCTGTTCTGCCGAAAGCTGACAAAACTTTTTTTTCTCACAACTGTTTCGAGAAAAAAAGGGGGGTTTTTTTGTCCAGCGTAATCAATTAAATATACAGAAATTATGAAATTTTAATTTTAATTTATTCAAAAACTGGTCACAATTTCTATTAATTTTTTCACACAAGTAAGGTAACTGGTCAGGCTTTCAATATAAAAAATAAAAAATGTTGGCATCAAAAATGAATTTAAAAAAGGCGTTTCATCAGCTCACGACAATGTTGTTGTCATTGTTTCCCTCAGGTTCTGGAGCGGATGAAGCGAGAGCTGCGGCAGAAGATGGAGGCGGAGATCAAGCAGTACCAGGACCAGCTGTTCCACGATGAGGACGACGCCCACTGGCGGCAGGTGGACGCTGACCGCATCAAGCAGCAGCTGCACATGGCACGCTACTCGGCCAAGATCTGAGGGATTTACACAGGCGTGCGATGTCCAGGCTTGTTGGTATCCCTGCGTGCTGCTAGTTATTACTGTCGATATGTGAGGCATCGTGGTGAAATCAGGCGCTCGTCAAAATTATGAAATCGAAGAAACAGACATTTTCTTCCAGTTTGGCAGTTTTCGTCAAATTTTTAATTTTTGGCTCAACGTCTTTTTATGTCCATATTAAAAGACATTTCCATATGAAATTTACTGAAAAACCTTGATTAATGGCAAAAAGTATGTAAATTTTCAGTTTTCAAGGACTCTCAAGCAATAGAAGTTACCAAACTTTGGAGGCCACTTTCTCGCAAATTTTACCTCAGAAAACAGGCTACCCCCACCTCTTTCAATCGCAAATATCTCAACTTCTGTTCCAGATATATAGGTATTTTTTACACCGAAAGAAAGACAAACAGCAAACAAGCTTTAAGCTTGTACCAATAACCCCATATGACCAAAAATTGTGACGAGCGCCTGATTCCACCCCATCGTGACAGGTATTGTAGTCTACTGTATACATCAAGAAAGCACAGAGTATCTTCATGAGGGATTTGCGATGTCCAGACTTGTTAGTAGCCCAGCGTGCTGCTGGTTATTTTTTGTCGATATTGTAGTCTACTGTATACATGCAAAAAATCGAGAAGTATGAGGATACTCTGCCCACTGTGGTGGTGTCATAGCCAATGAGGTTTATACAGAGCTACGGTTATCGCTAGTTGAAATCTTCTCTTGATTGATGGATAAAGCATCAAGGTCGCCTTCTGCCGATGCAAGGGTCTACATGCTCCTCTGCCAACTTGTGGAAACGTCCTAGACACACACACCTTCACACATTTGCACTCTGTCACAGACAGGCATGTATTCTTTCACGTACACACACACACATAATTCATATAAACTGGCCGTTCTCAATGCCTATGTCTCAATCTGTTGTACTTAAACTCTTTCCTTACCTTGAGCTAGAACATCAGCTCGGTGTGTTGAGCATGGCTTGCTTCACGCGGTAGAACGCGCTCTATAAGAATTCAATTGCAGAGGTTATCTCAAGGCCAACATGGCTTCCATCCACAGGGGCACACTGCTCCTCCAAAATTGGAGACACGATGGTCTCACTTTCAGACTCTCCGTCCAGTTGTTAAACTGTTGCCACTTTATTTTCCCTTGCTATGTCTATTAATAATTAATAGTACATCTAAGAATTTTTGGGATACTCTTTGTCGATCCAAAGGGGCCGCAGTTTTTTCGTGTTTACAAGTAAGTCTACGCTCTGCTTTGCTCCAGTGTCTGAGATCCAATTGTGAGGCACTTCCCTGTTGCTCTTAGAAAATGTGAGTTTGATTCTAAGAAGGGAAGTGTTTTATTGAGTATCTCTGCCTATGTGCTGGTATGTTGTATCGCACTCTGCCTGGGTTGGCCCTAACAAGCAGAGTCAAAGTTGGTGGCCTCTTAAATGATATAAATTGTGTCTTTGGGGTGTGAAATATTGACAATTACTTACAATCGCTCCATCATAGAACAACTTGATAAGAATTCCTAAGAATACTTCAATCTACTACAACACAGATGGGGGATTTCTGATGAACATAAATAAACCCAATGGCTGCTGAATTGTTATGTGACTGGAGCACCCTAAGGAGGTGGGGAAATTTCTTTTGTCTGTGATAATTATATGTTGAAGCTTGATCGTCCATGGGAGTCAGTGAAAGAGACCAATGCAGAGCTTTTGCTTATTTTAATATGGTCAGATGAAAGTTCAAGCATGTTTTCTTGTGGTATTAGTTCACTACTTCCCTTGCGAGTTGCTCAGTGGTAATGAGTTATGTGTGCTTAGGAAAACCAAGCATTTTTGGCTTCTTTTTTAAAAACTTTGAAATGATTCTGCCGTATCCCTGCACACTACATGAAAAAAAATGTTGACAGTCCAGTGAAAAACTTCGACACAATAATGCATATTTTTGGCTAGAAACTGTCAGAGTATTCGTCTCAGGTATAAAACGGTGTCATTTAGAGATGTGTAGCTATTGCACTGTAGTGTATCAATCAGGACAAGTCGTTTGTCATGTAAGTTGATGAAGAAATCCTCCCACTCACATGTTTGGGTGGTTTTCTTTTTCAATGAGCATGATTTCCGAGGCTCATCTGTTGCATCTTGAACCAGTTCAAGGCTGGGAGTTGATTCTGTTGTCTGAATGTGTATTTCTGACTTTGTGTTGAATAGCAACTCTAAATGAGTTTGCAAGCTCAGCGATTTTTTAAGGAGCCTTTTTCTTTCGAGTTGCTCAAAGGTGGGACTTTTTCTGTGTAATTAAGAACATTTTTTGAGGTAAAACATCTAGATTAAAAAGAAAATGTTTTTGAGGTAGACAAAACAGTGATGTGTTGTCGTCCCATATCCCAGCAACTGTCTCTTCTAAGTATGCCATCCAGTTGACAACTGACTAATTGTGTAGATTAGCTCAAAGCTTTTACATAATTCATCTCTCTCTCTCTCTCTCTCTCTCTCTCTCTCTCTCTCTC